GTTCTCGATCGGCAGTTTTCGGGCGATTGAAAACAAATTTTGAGCCACGAATTGTGTTCTGGGCAGTTGGGCTGTCATACGTCATATACAAATAAAAACCTTGGCGAGCGAGCATAAATACCTTTCGTTCAGGGCAAGGAATATCCAAGACGTCCTCCGCTTGAACCTCAATGTCGCGGTGAACATTCAAAAGCGCTAGACCGAGCAGTCGCTCATTCGAAGTGGACGCTCTCAGATATGTTTTCAACCGTCGTAGTGAAGAGAACGAACGCTCAGGTTCCGTCGTTGTTACGCACAGAGTCGCTAGGATCTTGAGGAGACGACGGACGTTTGGGAATAGGGCCTCCGGACAGAATGCGACCGCCTGTAGCGCACATACGTGACGGGCGTTTCACGTTCCTCCCTCTTGCATTTGGCAATCCATATGAGCAGCTCGCAATGGAGTACACGAACTGAAACCAGGCCTGAATAGAGCTCCAAAAACTCTTCAGCGCCGGGAGCTGCTCCGCTTTCCAAGATTTTTGCAGGCAGAGCGACGAAAGTAATTGCAACGGACTACGCCGATGCGTTTTAAATATACCATCTAACTATGTGATCAGGTCATCTATAAAGGAAAAGAAAACGGGGTGCTTAAAATGCTCTTTCGTGTTTCCAGCGGGAATATTAGAGCAGTGACGTTGCCGACTTGTTACTCGCCACATCAGAACTTCAACTTCCGCTGTCTCGGCCATTTTAATGCTGTCTTGGAATATTGCCCAGTGTTGGTGGGCGAAGGCTTGCTCTAATTTTTAGCGTCAATATTTTTTTGTTAATTTTTTTGTGACAGTATAGCTATCATTTTGTTTTGTCTGGCCGGCACGCGTTGGTAATGCAGCGGTACCTCAAATCAAAGGGAGTTGTGTTGGCAAAAAAAAAAAAAAAAATTGGCTTGCTCTTTATGTTTATACAGCCTTGATGGAGATGCGCCTCAACGGGTAATCGGTCTCTTAGCTGTAGATGAGAAATTTAGCCAGTGCGGTACAACCGCTAACCTGGGATTTTTAACGTGCAACACGCAGTAGTGATCCCACGAACGCGTGCCGGTACGAAACTCATCCAGATCGAAACGGGCGGGGGCGGCGGGGATCGAACCCAGGAGGTTCCCAGGGCAAGCTTTCGCTCCACGCTCCGAGCTGAGGAGTTGTGTTGGTGCTGTGAGGAAGCTTTTAAAGTTGGTGGGCCGCAACTACAACGAGAGTAGAACAAAAAGCCACCACGCCCGTATTCCTGTAAATGGAGCCTGCTCCGTTTTGAAAAATGATAATGCAGCTTTAGCCGTGTGATCTTAACAGCGCCGCCTCACTAATCTTTGTGTGAGCGGCCGTACCGCCGCGTTCACCCTGCTTCGTCATTGAGGGGGGGGGGGGGGGGGGTATAATGCCATTGAACGCTCCCCCCCTCCCCTTTCCCCTGAAATAAAATCTTGGCTATGCCACTGCTACACGTGCTGCTAGCGACATTGTACAAAAAACACAAAAAATTTCTGAAAAAAAGAAAAAAATGGGTCGCAGACCGTGTTGTTTCCACTTCGTAAGCTGATTCTGAAGAAGCCGATCCTGGATTGCGTCACGAGGGGGATGTCCACCGCCGCCATGATGCAACGATTGTTGGAGCTGAGAGAGGTTTATTGCAGACGATGGTGAACACTGCCTTATTCAATAAGCAGCGTAGTTTCCTCCCTGGGGCCGCGGCCGACTAAGCAAACGTGCAGCTTCAAAAGGAGCAACTAACTTTGATGGACTTCTACGAAGCATGGCTATGTCGAATTGAGACGTCGAAAATTGACACCCCGGTCGCGAATCAGTTGGCAGCTGCCATGAAAAGGCAAGAAAAGGTGTTACTTGCAAGCGACATATTCTGTGCGGCTGTACTCTCAGAAAAAAAAAAAAAAAAAAGAAAAGATCTATTAACTTTTACACTCTCTATCTCATTTAAGACACCCTAAAATTTCAGTTCAACGTACAGTGACTGAAGTTGAACCGACGGTACTTACTTTCACGAGCGGCTTGATAGCCGTGTGGTACAACTTATTAAAATAGTTAACGTACGTGCTACTAAATACAAAAAAAAAAAGCTTTTTTTTTTTTTCTTCTACTGCAAAACTGCAGTGTTTTCTTTCTGTAGTCTTTCATACGTAGTTTAGCTATTTAGTAAGTTACATCGCACCGTTATCAAAACCCTCGTAAAATTTTGGGCCGTCTGTTCGATTCTTGTGCGCTGTAGGTCGAACTGAAGTTTTGGGGTGTATTATATGGGACAAAAGGGTGTGAGACATTACCCTTTTCTTTTAGAGTATATTTTTGGAACCCCGATACTACTACTAGTACTAATAATAATAATGACTTTATTTCCATCGAACGTTGATGGTGGCGATCAAGCAACAGTCATGTTCGTGTCATGTTAACAAGCGAGGAAAGTTCCAGAGCATAGCAGTATCTGCTACTGGCGAGGAGGGAGCTTCGCCCCAGCCACAGGAACCTCAAGCACCGTGCACAACGGGGAGTTCCACTTGCCTTGATGACGACCTCGAACCGTTTCTCATAGAAAAAGAAAGCGGAAGCATTTAGCGAGCATTCTTTGATCTTTGGGGAGATTCAGACCCAACTGAACGGCCTTGAAAAGGTGCCCCGAATTAGCCAGGGTAGCAATGTCTTGGAATTTTGGGAAAAGGAAAAGTCCCGGCTCCCCGATTTACATTCATTTGCACTCGTCGCTCTTGCAGTGCCGGCCACGCAAGTCAGCGTGGAAAGGACCTTCTCGGGGTTAAACTACGTCCTATCATGCCAACGAACGCTATTGTGAGCCCGGACACGCTAGATGATGTCCTTCTCCTCCAGTCGTTTCACGCAGCCAAAGCGTACACATCAGTAAAATTAAGATGACGCGTGCATGCAAAAATTTTGGAGAGGCACTCGTCCATTCTTACAGTAGATATATTTAATTTTTTTCCCCATGTCACGTCTTGAATTTTCGAAGATTATTTCAATAGGCAGATGGAGTACACAAAATCAATAAATGAGTTTATTTGATACCGCCGAACAAGTAATTCAATTTTAACAGAACCAACTGCTGAGATTGCTCCCGCGAAACACACTGCGTTTTTGTTGGCAAAAGCGGATACTGTGACGTAACATCAGGCAGAGAAAGCCACCTCAGCTTTTGACTGCTGTCTCGGTATAATTAAAGTGTAATACTTCGTTCTGGGAAAGACACGATTTTCCGTATTGAGGGAAGCTCAATTCTTCGACGATGATCTCTGTACGCACTTCATGGCAGTGGAGGTGTGCGAATATTCGGATAAATTTTTCACCTTTTATTGAACCGTTATATGAACCGGTATGAACCGGTTTAAACCGGTTCGAACCGTTATTTTTTCCGCTCCAGAGCTGAACCTGAGCCGAACCGAAATATGTGAACCTTGACCTGAACCGAACTGAAACGAGTTTCGGTTCGACACCCTGCCCAACACAATGGCGTTTTCGGATATTTGGTGCAACAGCAACTAGATGGCGTGCACTTTGGAAAAGTCTTCATACGTCATCATCATCATCATCATCGTCATCTTGTAGGGTACAATTTCGATACCCTTCAACACTGATCTTCGGAAGAGGAGTTACGCCAAAACTGTGTTGTTTGTTTAGACACTGAGAAGTTAGACCACACCAGTGGGCGTCTGGAGTTTCCGCTGCAGATGAGAAATGTTGCCAGTGGTGGTAGCAACAAAGGGAGTTCCCGAAAACGAGAACCGAGTGTTTCGGCTCGTGTAAATAAACTAAGCATCGCAGAAAGCTCAAACTCTGTGAGGATGGGACCCTATAGCAGTTTGGATAGAACGCGGTAGTTTGGGAACATGACGTCAACTGGATCAAAAGATAATTGAGAAAAACAAAATTTCTCAATAAGCCGACGTCCAGCTAAGCCTAATATCGTCAAAACAAGAAATGACACTGTGGGCGCCGGCAGCATCTATTTGAATGGGGAAAAAAAAAAAAGAACGTATCAGCAAAAAAAAAAAAATAAATAAAAAAAAAAAAATAAATAAAAAAAATAAAAAGACAATGTCCTCTTTCTTGATGAGAAGTCTTTTTTTTGTGAAATATATGTTGCATGCTTCCACTGTGTCATTTCGTGTTTTAACGATATTATGCTTAGCATGAATGTCGGCTCATAGAGAAATTTTGTTTTTCTCAATCATCTTTTGATTCAGGTAGCCTCATCTTCTCAAACTTTCACGTTCTATCCCAATCGCCATCGTCACCTCCTCGGAGAGTTTGAGCTTTCTGCGATGCATAGTTTATATACCCAAGGGCCAGGCCGATAAACACGATTCTCGTTTCTCGGAAACTCTCTGTATTTATTTTAGCTCAGGGGGGCCCTGCCCGTTCCTATCTTGTTGAGCATCGTACCCGCGCGCAGTCGTGTACGTATCGCTACTGCGTGATGTTAAATACTTTAAGCCGATACTGGCTTGGGGTCTTTAACGTGCATCTCGCAGTAGTGGGGAGTTTTCGTAGACAGCGTTCCTCCCTCCGCTAAGCCCTCCGCAACGAAGAAGCCGCTACTGCGCCTGCGCGTCGATGGTATCGTAGCGGGTATCGTAGCGGGTTGCGGAGAGCATTGCGGGACGAAGAAAACGATCCACGAAAACTTTCTAATGACACGTACACGGCAGCGTGCAAGTACAGTTGTCAACCAGATAGAAACGTGCAGGGTGGACATTGGAACCCAGTATCGCTGAGTGCTGCAGCATGAGCTATCACTTCATGTGCTCCGATCTGCGGTGGGCTAACACACTCGGCAACCTTAGGGGCTTACCCATCAAAGGAAACTCGATGAAAGTCAAATGCCGTTCAAATTTCCCGCGTACTCCTTCTAAATTGGTTCGCTAGGTGACGCTCGCGAAAACGATCGTGGCGCCATCTGACCGTGGCAAGGCCAAATAACCTGCTCGGAAGGCCCTTCCCCACCTCCACCTGCCTCCACCTCCTCCGTGTTCGGCGGTGGTTGTCGGCAATCGTGGGGCCGGTGGTCTGGCGGTGTGAAACGTGCGAAGGCTAACAAGAACTAGTCTACCTGACCCGCTCGTTCATTCTATTACACTGATCTCGGCTCGTTTCATCGGCTCCATGCCGATCGGACACCGTTGCGCGAGTTCCTAGCGAGGGCGTGACGTACTACCCTTGAAGTCAAACCTGCGGAGAAGGGGCGGAAAAACACAAAAATCCGGCTCCGTGATCTCGGCGATATCAACAACGGCAACGAGGCGACAGGAAAGATGTCCCATCAAACCGGAATCCAGGGTAATGTACGGGCATCGCACCTAGACGTGGGCTTCTTTGGACCGTTCAACGTCGGACGGTGCCGTCCAGTCCGTCTACCGAATAGCGTGGCTTCCCTAGCATGTAATGAAGTGCACCAGTCGATTTACTTCGATCTGTCGACCTGTTCCTGTGAGTCAACGGACCTAATCATACAACGGCAGGCAATCTACCTGTAAATGCTTTGAATCGACTGTGGTTGCAGTGCTGGAGCGTGAAAGTCAGGAGTTCAGATGATTGCCCGTGTGAACTCTCTTCTAGTCGGCTAACCGCCGAGTCGCTTTATTTTAGCGTGTAAACTGGACCGCTTGTTATTGTGAAATTCTTGGCGTTGTGATGAACGCAACCGTAAGTAGGAAGCCTTCGTTTTTGCGTCGAAATAGCATACACACGAGGGCAACTTTAGAAGCGTTATCATATGGAGTCGACTTCACCTTTGCATGAACCTCGCATGCCTTCCCGATTCAACCGGCCTGGGACCCAAGACAAGATGCACTTGTGAACGATTGCGCAAGTGCGAATTTAATCAGAATGCGCCCACGCCAGAGGATAATGACGTTCATTTGCCCCTCAGAAAGATCTGTGGATGATAGCTGAACAGTTCGTGCCAGAGGCATGCATCCGCTGAATTTATTTTTGCATGTAAACGTATATTCGTCTTGTCACCGTTACTGGGGCAGCCGTGGAATTGCGTGCTCGAATTTCCCGTTGCATATGTCACGGTTCGCTGACAGCTGATGCGCAGCGCCAGACACGCGCGGCGCGAAAATAGCCGAGTCGATGTCGTGGGCGTTTAACGAACGTGTTTAGCCTTGCAAAGTGCCGATGGATAATGGATCGTGACCTTCATTTGCATTCCGGAAGAGATAAATGTATGAGAATGTAGGGGGTTACGGAAAACCATCGCTCGAAAAATTCGGGGTTGGAATTGAAGATCATTACGCGAAAGAATAAAGAATAATTTTTATGGCCTGCTCCACCTCCAGTAAGGAAGTAGACTAACAATGTTGTGAATTAGTCCACTCGTTTTCTCGTCTAATTGCTAGAAGGAAATAGAGCAAAAGTTGGCACAAAAAAAAAAAAAAAAATGTTGGATTCTGCGCTTGTGTCTACTTGTTCCTGTTTCTGTTACTCTAAATATGATTTGCTATAATTCATATTATAATTAATACATAAAACAATAATAATTCCCTTTCCTCCTTCCTGCCCATGTCCATGGGAGAAAGATAATTTGTTATAAATCTTCTGTATGCTGTAGATGCCTTGGGACATGCGTTACTGACGCTCCCGTCAAGGTTTTACTATTACTTGTAACACCAGCCTTTTTCAGTTTTATAATGGAAATTCTTTAGGCATTGTGACACAACCAAGAAATGTCGAACCTCTCCTCTCTCTGCCTTGCAGCCAATGCAGGGCTGAAGAAGTTTTTTGCAAGGTGTAAGGATGGCACAGTGAGGGTGTTCAAGGTATCGATTGTTGAAGGTGAGTTACCCGATGCCTGTTTTGCTTCAATGAACCAAGGTTTCAGAGCTGCCCAGCTACCGGTTGATGTTCCTAATCGAATTGCAGAAGAGCTGACCTTGGTCGACCACAAGGCACCCAAGGGCTCGTGGGAACAAGGTATGCGTGCCCCGAGTTCATTAAATCAGTGTTGCATTTGTGACGCAGTTACAGTCAATGGCAGGGTGTGGTTCGACATACACACCACTACTGTTCATCGAACTCTGTTGTCTCACTCTGCAACCTACAGGAGCCTGTAGATTCCTATAAAAAAACAGTAAAAACAAAACTGCATGCTCCGCTGGCACGCTGGCATTTCAGTTGCATAAGTCCCCCGCCAGTGAATTGCTCCTCATTTTGTCGCTTAAAATAGCATAAAGTACAGTAGACAATTTTGACCACCGCATTATTATATAATATAATATATAATGTAATAATAATTATCTTTATATAAGAGAAATGCCCGTAAGGGCCTTCAAGGCTTAAAAAATGATGATGATGATGAACACAGCTACAAATATATGAATATGTGTTTCGTTTATATAGCATTATAAACAATGCGGAAAAGTCAGCAACATGTTTCTCCACATTCCATTTTCTGTATAGGTTACCAGCGCAGACGATACTGACACTTTGTTTACGTTCGTTCGACATTGAGTTTGCGACTGGCAAGTGGTAGTACGACACTCTACCCACATCATATTTGACAACTGCATGAATGCCGTGTTCTCGTATTTATGATCATTTCACCTTTATGACATTTGTGAGCTTCCTGCTGTAATAAATTTCGTGGGACCTATTTATCGGACCAAATCGAGCACTTTGCACAGCAGGTAAAAAGGCTTTGAGCTAGCTGTCAAGCGAAAAGAGGGGTTTACAAAAGCTCCTGCCTGCCTTTATCACTCCATCAACAACAAGAGACACCAGCACTACGATGCATGATCAACATGCAGGTATGCACGCACATGCATGCTGCCAAGTTTGATTAAAAAGCAACTCCACTCAGTTGCAGACAATTTGGTATAATGGGGCGATGTTATGTCGAGAAGTACTAATGAACTCCCCTACATTATTTGTTTCATAAGAAGTACATGTTTCGTGCACCTTTGTTTTGACTACGGCAAGGATCTCTTGCTCCATGTTGTACAAACAGTTGCGTTATCTACTTCGCAGGGAACACAGCGCAGGTTTTGTTAGCATCGCAGGACCTCCTGCTTCTAACGGCACCTGCACGTCACCCGCTAAATTAAAAGACTATGTTGACTTGGTTCATGTCGAGCTTAAATGTGCAGTTTGATAAATATTTGACGAGATTGCATTCTAATATGATCTTCCTGGATGAGATTATAGAGGGCTGCATTGCTTCCTCAATAAGGGAAATTGAGCTGAGTTGCTTTTTCAAACGTGTCACTTGTTTGAAGAACGCATCATGGGATTCGACCAAGTTCTTAGCTCTCCTGAGTGATAGCCTAGGAACATGGTTCACGAACCTCAAAACTTTGTTCACAGCTCAACATGCTCAATCAACTTTGGTTACAGCATGGCTCAATTGAGCCAAAATTCTGCTTACGTTTAAACAATCAAAGAGGCTTGTCACTTAGAAGTACAAAACGGTGATGCATACCATCCATTCATTTCAGTCGGTGTTGCCTTTTGTCCCCAGACTATGACTCCCTGGTCTTACCGCTGGTGGAAGGTGGTCAGCCGTGCTACCTGTTCTTCCGGCTGGACAGCCCCTGCCAGAACGGTTACAACTGGCTCTTCATCAGCTGGTCCCCTGATGACTCTCCTGCAAGTGCCACCCTGCTTCATTCCTTTCCTTATATGCCCATTGGTCATATATTGTTGGGGAAGAAAAGGAATGTACTGGCCTATTTGAAACGGACATGTTGCAAGCGTCCGAGGTTTTAACTATTTTTGGAGGTTTAATATTAAGTAGTTTCAGGGCTGCAAACCTTTTAAAGCCTTGAGATAGACGGGTTAATATTTCTGAGGTTTTCGAACATATTGGATTTGAAGGCCAACTCCAATTTATGAAGACAATTTTAGGACCAAGCTTTTGAAGCAAAAACAATGAAAATGGTGCAATATAAATGAGAGGAAAGAGGACTTTCCTTTTTTTACCATTGCCATGGGCAAGTAAGCTAAATATGAAGGCTCTCCATACATACATGTTTCTTACTTATAGTCTTCAGTAACTCTTGGAGGCTCCCTATGCAATGCAGGTGGTTCTAATTATTAAATGTGCATGATTGCGTCATTAACGGCATCGCAAATTAATTTTATAGATGTAGAAAAAAGTATTCAAGTGCACTAAAAGCTGTCCTGCCTTTTCTTAATCAGTGTCTTTCGCCACTCCCTTTCCCCCCTAATTTGAGACGTGCGAAAACAAATGCTAACTTAAGTTTATGATGTCACTTAAGGTTTATAGAGAAAATAAAAGCTTCACCCAAACTTTAGGGGACACGCCTCGAACCAGAGATGCCGGCTTGTGCAGGTGCGCCAGAAAATGCTGTACGCTTCGACCAAAGCGACCCTGAAAAAGGAGTTTGGCGGCGGCAACATCTCGCACGAGCTCTTCGGCACCAACCGGGAGGAGATGCGTCTACCCGGGGTGCGCCGTCTGCTGAGCACGGAGGCGGCACCTGCGCCCCTGACGCTGGCGGAGCAGGAGCTCAACGTCATCCGCAAGGGGGAGGCCTCGGCCAACGTCGCCATCGATGCACGCCACCAGACGCTGCGGGGACTCCACTTCCCCATGTCGGACGATGCTGTGGCTGCCCTCTTTGACCTGAAGGACGGACAGCTCTCCTATGTTCAGCTGGTGAAGTTACTGCTTTCTTTGGGCCCTATTTCCGTGCTTGTTCAAGAGGCTGGAGTGCACCACTCAAGCGTGTATTATTGCCAGTGTTCTTCATAGGTATCCCTCTTATACATGCCCATGCAAGTGTCTTTTTCGTCGATGTTCCTTTTGTAGATGTTCCTCTTGTGAATGCTTCTCTTGTGAATGTTTCTCTCGTGAATGTTTCTCTTGTGAATGTTTCTCTTGTGAATGTTTCTCTTGTGAATGTTTCTCTTGTGAATGTTTCTCTTGTGAGTGCTCCACTTGTAGATGTTTCTAGTTGTCTCTCACACATGTCTTTTGTCTTGTACATGTCTCTTTTTGATGTCTCATGTATCTGTCTCTTGTGGATGTTTCTTTTGTGGATGCTTCTCTTGTAGATGTCTTGTAGATGTCTTTTGTGTATCTGATACCTTGTGTGGACAGTACAGCACTCAACAAAACGAAATGGACTAGCGGAGCGCGTGGCCCCACGCAGACACAGTGACTCTAGTGATTACTAGATCAACCAAATGGCAGAACCATGTGGTTACTCTAGAGGCTAGAGTAATTCTTATTCATTAGAGTAGTAACTGTATGCGCCCCTCAAGCAAATCATACGCAGTTACAATCTGAGCTCATTACAACAGACCTGGTTACAGCAGATATTTGGATATAACATACCGATTTGTGAAGTTCGGTTGGTTTTCCTCTACATACTTTGACTTAACTTCATATCTACATACAACATACTCCTTTTACAACAGACCGAAATCTTGTTCAAAATCGAGGTCTGTTGTAACGAGCTTAGATTGTATTCGAGTGAGGCCATGGGCTGCGCTGGTTCATTTTGTTTCGTTGAGCACTGTACTTTCATCCTCGCAAGATAAAATTGTTTATTTTTATTTGTTTTATGGGCTTCCAAATTTGCTGCATAAATGATAATTCTTGCATTTTGAATTTCTTTTGCTTTGAATGCCACAAAATTCTATTTGTTTTTACTTCCTAGTTTCAGTTTAAAGGCCAACCTGCAAAATCATTTTCCGCAAGGTAGGAAAATCCTCCTTGCCACACTTCCCATTTCCCCCTCTCCCACTGCTATCTTGCCAGCAAAGGCGGGGGGGGGGGGGGGGGTGGGGGGGGGGAAGGGGGAAGGGGGTTGTCGGACTTTTTTTGGTGCGGCATATTAGGCTGGATAAGCTGGGTAAGCTCCCGGCTTTTCCAGCCCCAAGATACAGCAACAGGAGTCCCTATCAAGATAACAGTGGGAGAGAGAGGGAAATGGGAAGGGTGGTAAGAAAGGTTTTCCTACCTTGCGAGAAAATCTTTTGGTATTTCAAGCTTAAAGGTAAATACTACAAAAAAAAAAAAAATCTACAAAATGTTGTTTTTGAAAAATGTTATACCAACATCTAGAAGTATTCCCCAAATGTTCAATTTGTTTACATTGCCTAGTTATTTCTTTATAAATTATTTTCAGTCCACCAATGCTCAAGAAAATGTGGGATTTGAGCACTTTGAATGTGTTTTTCTTCGTTCCACTTTTTTGCATACATTTTCCTTTAGGAAAACTATTGTTTGGTACCAGGACAAAAGGAAAGGCTCACTCATTGTTTTTCCTAAGTGGAACTCAATGGGCAATCCAACTGTGGCGTTCTTTCTTACTTTGTGGATACCTTTTAGAAAATATGTTAAGATCTTGTCAATAACATAAAGGACAAAAAATTTATTTAATTTTTCAGTGCAATGCTAGCATAAAATGAATTACTTTTTGGAAATTTTGTTTTCCCAATTGCACCTTTCAGGCATTATGCTACATATCTAGTGAAAAAAGTGTTGGGTATTACATTGGCTATCTAATGATAGTTTTCCTACACAACGTCAGTTTCTAATAAAAAATAATCTATAATTTCTTTCACAATTTATGTACACAGACGAAAGTGTGCACTGCATTCTGCTTCACAACTGCTACTATATACTGTATATATCATTTATGTTAAAGGACAACTCCGGACGAAAAGAAAGCTAAAATAAATGACTGGTATTGCTTTAGTGGCACAAAACATGATCACAGCCGAAATGTTACATCAAAGTAATGCCATGTACTCCACTAAAATCGATTTTAAAGATGCGACCAGCTGCTCTTTAGCAAGCGGCAAGCGGCTTAGCTTTTAGTCAAGGAACACTGGCACAGTACTCTCATGATGTCACATCACGAGGGTGCTTTTGCGGTTGATTGGTTGTACCGCGTATCGCACCACCCTTGTGACGTCACGTCGCGGCCGTACGACTGACGTTTCGTGTTGCCATCCCTCTAACAGATAGTTTCGGTTTTGACATAAACACCAGAAACCCAGCTTTGAGCCGTGATATTATAAAACAACACACAATACCGAGAAAAAAAAACAATTATACCTTGTAATTCAGGGACACTGCTTTAGCTGAAAGAAGTCGTAATCACAAATTAAAAGAATATTGACTGGAGTTGCCCTGTAAGCCAAAGGTTCAGAAGTTGACCTTTTTGGGTAGTGTCCTTCTTTAAATTGTAAAGCCATATTTTTATTGTTTTTGTCTTTATTCAATACCCTGCTCCCATATGGGTCTGGATTAACCTTTCTAAATGAAAATAAATAAATAAACAGACAAGCCGTCTTTACGTAGGTGTTCCCCGACCGAAGAAAAAAAGCAGCCTTTCGAGGAGAGATGACCTGCTCAGTTCTTGCTTGCCCAGTGCTGAAGAGGATGCCCTTTTGCGTGTGCCTTGCGCAGAGCATCGACACGGACAAAGAGGAGATCAACCTGGCGTGCCGCGACAATGTGGCGGTCACGGGTTTGGCGTCGCTGGTGCCCAGGGACCGTCCCCGCTACCACCTGTTCCTCTTCCCACACAACCACGAGGGAGAAAAGCTCAGGAGCATAGGTGCGTCTACGGTCACCAGGCCCGTGCCATATGGCGTGCTGCCCATTTCAAAGAACGGCGGCGCATACGGCAGAGTTAGCGAGGGTGGTGCTTGTGGCACCGTCCCTCAATGAGTGAAACAAGCAGATGATGATGTCGTCTGCTTTTGACCAAGTGTGTCGCCGCTCGCTGCGCCTATCAAGAGATGGTGCCACAAGCACAACCAGCACAAGCGTCGCTAACATAGCCGACTGCGTCGTCATCCGCCATTGACCGTGGCAATGGTGTCGGCCTTATTTCTTGCAGGAAAAGAGATACACCTTGAAATTTCACGGAGTAGTAGAATATACCTTCAGTAGGCATTCGAAATTGCTACGTGCAGGTGCCGAATATTGCGGGCAACTTTAGAACCAGCTTGGGTATCGAAACCACCCTATACTTGTGGGTGGAGTAAGCAAATGTTTACTCCACCCACAAGTAAAGGGACGTTTTGAGTGGCATTCATTTGACTCAAGAGCTGATTCCGTGAAGCGCTGTTCCATTTCTTTTGGAACTAGCCATTCCACCTTCTCATGAACAAGTATCTCCTTTGTGGGGAAGGCCTGCTGGTTAGCGAGCAGCATGGGGATCTTGCCATTCTGGATAATTTCAGACTGTTTGGCATTCAAGACAAAATGTCACATTCGTTTTATGGAAATTTTTTTTGCTGTCATATTTCACGTTAGTCTGCGCTCTTGAAAGGACACTGCACTTTAACCAAAATATTTTTCTTTTTAGCCGTAACTGCCCGTATAGGACTTTCGCGTAATGAACTGCATTTTCTGTGAGAAAAGACAAGTTAAATTCATGGAACGTTTTCTGGTGCGGGGCACAATTTCACAGAGTTGTAATAGTCAGTCCTCCTCTCCTCTTTCCTTCCTTTTCATGCCACATGGAAGGGAGTACAGGCGAACAAGCATAGTTCTCCCCTGTGACTCTTCCCGCCTGCGGGGAGGCTTACGGAATGGCCCCTATTCTGATACATGCGAAGCCAGCACGCTGGGGCAGACGAAGTTGCTTGGAACTAAAAGTGTAGGTCAGGGGTTCTCAAACTGGGTTCCGGGGAACACAGGGGTTCCACGAGCTGGTCTCATGGGTTCCGTGAGCACCCAAATTGCAACCCCCCCCCCCCATTGCCGCAGGCTGCACGGCAGGACCATGCAAAGCGCCTTCATCTCACTTTGTACTGCCATCGCGATTGATATGGTGGGGATATATGGGAAGCAACACAAGCAGGATTGGCCTACAATTGTGCATCTGTTGCTTCTCGGTCGGCAAATATGGAGGGGGGGGGTGGGGGGGTTCCTTGGCAATTTTTGAGGCTTCCTGGGGTTCCGTGAGACCAAAAAAGTTTGAGAACCCCTGGTGTAGGTTATTCCAATAACAAGCACAAGGTGTAGGTCATTAAACTAACTGCATTGTCATCTTGGTCCGCTGGGCCATAGAATGCACTTATGCGCTGTTAGCCCCCTCCTGTCCCCTCCTACAAAAGGGGGCCATTGACTTGACATTTTCCCCCTGGGTGATGTGCCAAAAACGTGTATACATTGCACCGAGATGGAGAATAAAAATTGAGGGGATTTATGTCACAATTTAGATCTCAGGGGTTTTACTATGCTGATTTAAATCGGACCTTTCTCGCAAAAATAATCACCGAAATATTATTTTATTTGATGTCTGTCTATCATTTTATGCTTTCTATGGTAAATGTGTCTCGTATATTTAAATGAAATATTAATTGAGCAAGAAAGATTTATAGCAAACTTAAAAAAAACGCTAAACCTAGGAAAATAAAAAAAAAAAATTTTTTTTTACCTGGTTAGGACAGACGTCCCAAATAAATAACCGTAAAAAAAAATATGTTTTTTTTTGCCCAGTATTTATGCTACAATGCCAATTTTTTTATTTGCAGACAAAACCGAAATTGTATCTCTGGGATGGTAATGGAAGCGTTTGTACCCAACTAGTGTGCGCCCCGAGTTCGCTGGACCTCAGAGCGCACACTATACACAAACTCATCTCTGCTACGTCACGACGCGGTAGTGGCGCGTCGGGCGCACTTCCGGTCTGGGGCTGTGGGCAGAAGTACCCATGTGAGACCTGTATTCCTGCGTTGGTTTGAAAGGAACCAGACAAAAACCTGCCTTCTCGTCAAAACGTTGCGACTGGAGCCGTACCAAAAGAGTCGAGAAACGTTTCAAGGTCAGTTTTCACGTGCACGGTTCGTCCGAGAATGTGGATATGTGCCGTGAAAAAGAAAAACCAGACGCCTTTGGACCACGACGGCTTGGGCGGGAAGCACTTTGGGCTGAATTCACGGATACTTCTGGTGATCAGATTTATTTGTTTTGTTCCAACATGAACGCCGGAAAACTGTCGCGTTGTGTGGCCTACCTGCGGACTACGTTCAGTGCGTTTTCAAGTTCAAACAACCGCCTGATCGTTCGAACCGTCGTCTGCTCTTTCAAACGTTTCTGCTTGTCGTCTGCTCTTTTAGACGACACCGGCTCGTAGACCAAATGTTGGCCCGGTACTTGCAATAAGAAGTAAGTGCAGGCCTAATAAAACTAAAGTTTGAAGGTTGGTAAGCAGGCTCGATGTAAACAGTAGATACAAGGAGATGTTGATCATTGTTACCAGTTACCATCACAGACTTGTTATGCCTAATTTACTTGGTTCTTTTCTACTTGCGATTTTCAGTATCGATGTCGACCATCTCGGTTACAGTTCACGTTTTTGCAGCCTGAGCGGCGTCGCGACTGAAAATTGCGAGCAAAATCTCATCATGCAATCAGGCTTCAGAGTACATACTGCGGCGTCCACGCGGAATGAATCGCCACATGTCACATTATTCGCGCAAAGTTTTGCGGGATAACGAGCCTTGGTAATTCCGCTGCGGCCGCTCAAGTAGTCAGACATTACCAGGAAGCCTCAGAATCAACAATTTGAACGCGTAAAAGGGCAGGGGGACTCCCACCGACGTCGACAACATGTTTACAAACAACGGTTTGTTTGTAAACATGAGCTGGTGTATAGCCAACGACAGGTCAAGGACAAAGTGGAAGTTCTTCCCAGCCCTTTCCACTTCAGCAAAGCGAATGGTGGAGAGGAGGTCGCCTCCTCTCCAGCGTTCACTCTACTAAACTGGAAAGGGCTGGGAGGAGCTTCCACTTCGTTCTTGACCTGTCATTGACTATACACCAACTCATCTCTGTGACGTCACGGCGCGGTGGTGGCACGTCGGTCGCACTTCCGGTCTGGGGCTGTGGGCAGAAGTCCCCATGCGAGACGTGTATTCCTGCGTTGTTTTGAAAGGAACCAGACAAAAACCTGCCTTCTCGTCAAAACGCCACAACTGGGGCCATACCAAAAGTGTCGAGAAAGGTTTGAAGGTCAATTTTCAAGTGCTCGGTTCGTCCGAGAATCTGGATATGTGCCGTAAAAAGGGAAAAGCAGACGCTTTCGGACAACGATTGCTTGGGCGGGAAGCACTTTGGGTTGAATTCACGGATACTTGTGGTCATCAGATTTATTTGTTTTGTTGCAACATGAACGCCAGAAAACCATCAAGTTGTGCGGACCACCTGCGGACTACGTTCAGTGCGTCTTCAAGTTCAAACGGCGGCCTGATCGTTCGAGCTGTCGTCTGCTTTCTCAAACGTTTCTGCTTGTCGTCTGCTCTCTTAGACGACGCCGGCCCGTATATGTTGGCCCTGTACTTGCGATAAGAAGTGCAGGCCTCAAAAGACTTACGTTTGACGTTTGAAGGTTGGTAAGCAGGCTCGATGTAAACAGTAAATACAAGATGTTGATCATTGTTACCAGCGAATATCACTATCTATGCCTAATTGACTTGGTCCGATTCTGCTTGCGATTTTCAGTATCGACGTCGACCATCTCGGCTACAGTTCACGCTTTTGCAGCCCGAGCGGCGTCGCGACTGAAAATTGCGAGCGAAATCTCATCATGCGAATCAGGTTTTAGCGTACATACTGCAGCGTCCACGCGGAATGAATCGCCACATGTCACATTATTCGCGCGAAGTTTCGCGGTGTAACGAGCCTTGGTAATTTCGCTGACGCCGCTCAAGTAGTCGGACATCGCCAGGAAGACGTAAAATCAACAATTTGAACGCGAAAAAGAGCAGGGGGACTCACACCGACGCCGATAACATCGCATTTCAATGGTTTGTCTATGGGCGACGGCGAGCTTCTTGCCCACACCCCCCTCGCGCATGCGCGGCGCCGGTGGCGTCCGCTAGGGGCGCTCCGGTTTGTTTGTAAACATGAGTTGGTGTATAGTTAGTTGGGTCAAAAATCGAAAAATTTGTGTTGTAGCATAAACATTGGGCAAAAAATATTTTTCTTTTTGACAAACATGTATTTCGAAACATACCAGGTAGAAAAAAAAATTGTTTTCCTAGGGTTACTGTTCTAAGAAAAACACAAAGCAGTGCCAGCAAAGGGAAACATTGAATTTTCTACCTTCCACTTTGTTTGTCTGTTACGTAATGTCGTTGGCAAGCAAATCAAAATGCGAGAGAAATGAGAACAAGAGAAGTAATGTCCTATCTAAAACAAAGCAAATAAAGCTTTTTTAATTAACCAATAAAATCAAACTGCTTTTATTCTAGTATGGTGCGATATACATCAATAAGGTTTGTTAATTAAACTGTACTTTAAAAACTTAAATATACAGTAATTCTTTAACTCTCCATTGTTTTCAGAGATCGGACAGATTAATCAATCATTCTGTCATGTTTAAAAGTACACCTAGTGATAAAGAATTATTTCTTTCGGGCTATGGTGATTTAGATCAAATTAGTCTGATTTAAATCAAACTAATCTGATTTAAAGCAAATTAATCTGACTTAAAGCAAATAAATCTGATTTATTTGCCTATTTATTTTATTATGCCATCTTTTGATAGGCATAAGAAGCAAATGATGCACTCTGTTGTCTGCTCGCTGAGCCTGTTGGGAGATGGCACCACAAGTTAATAGCGTCGCCAACTCGGTCGTCTGCGAACGCGCCCGATGTTTCTGGCAAGTTTGTCGCTCTCCTTTTTTACAGAAAGAACTATGCCTTGAAATTTTGCACGTTAAAACACCTGCTCAATGCACATTCGGTGAAAGTTAAAACTTTCTATGTGCGCGCCGATTTTTCTGGCTCGTTCTACGGTGTCGGATCTGCTTAGCTACCCTCCACATAGGTATTCACAATATGCAGCTCGGTTTACAACGAGCGGAGTACCCTTTTCCAGCGTGGGTCTAAGACCGCGATCCTTCGACGTTCGCTTCGGATGCAAACTTATGGGCAAGACGTTAACAGGCTTCGTCCTTTGCCCGGGCGTTGACGGAATACCTCCGTTTCCTCTTCCGCAGTGTTCATCTACTCCATAGCGAGTCACGAGTGCCCCGTGAAGGAGCGCATGCTCTACTCGAGCTGCAAGTCCCCTCTGGTCGAGACCATAGAGACCCAGGTGGAGCTGCCCATTGCCAAGAAGGTGAGTCCAATCGGCCTCCGTCGCCTCCCGCGTCAAGTCCCCAAACTGCAACTTCGCCGCGGAGATGCGCTACGGACCTCTACTCCGTTTGTCGCCAAGCTACGGGTGGGGACTACGTATTATTAGAAATAATCCAAAATATGCAAACAAACGAACTGCGCTGCCAGAAGGGAATACTCGTTACGAAGCCGCCGAAAAGCCACATATTTCGCGGCACCGTGCTCTTCGGGAGGGAAGCGGTGATGCACGGGTTGCGTAGTCACGCGACGCGTTCGCGGTTGCCAGATTGGCCATTATGGCTCGTAGCGTCCGCCGTGGGCCGTCGTAAAGTGAAGTGTATACCGTAGAATATCGCGCATCCGCCCATACCACATTAAGCGCCCATTACCAAATTCGTAAGATCAGAGAAAATACGCACGGTACATTTATATGTAAAATTGATGACCGGACAAGCGCCCATCCCCCCTTTTTTTTTTTCAATTATCTCCAAAGTTTGAGTGGGCGCTTACCCGGTATTTTACGGTACTTTGTTTCGCCTTAACTTGGCAAAGAGCGATCGCCGCGGCTTCTTGAGCCAATCGGAGCAACGGAGGCGAAGAATGTGACTGCCCTTACCGAGGGCCGAGAGCGTAACTCGAGGAGTTGAAGGGGAGGGGAAGGAGAAAGGCCCTTCTTACTCGGACCCTTTTTTGTGCGTCCCTCCAAAAGATTAGTCTGTCACTCAATATCCGTACGAAAGCGGCTCTCCTCCTTCCCCTGCCCGTGGATTCGACGACACTGCGTGCAAGAAGCGAGATAGACCATAGTCGCTCGTCTCCGTGTGCAACGAGTGAGATAGATTATAGACACTGTGTACAATGAGTGAGATAGACTATAGACACTGTGTACTATGAGCGAAGTAACTATAGACACTGTGTGCAATGAGTGAGATAGACTATAGACACTGTGTACTATGAGCGAAGTAACTATAGACACTGTGTGCAGTGAGTGAGATAGACTATAGACACTGTGTACTATGAGCGAAGTAACTATAGACACTGTGTGCAATGAGTGAGATAAACTACAGACACCGTGTGCAACGTGTAAGATAGACTATGGACACTGCATGCAATGAGTGAGATAGACTATAGACTTGCCGATTGGCTCCCTCGAATCATAGCCTTCGTCATTTGTTGAGCTAGGACAAGGCGGAGTATGGGTGCTATTCACTGGCGGCCATATCCGAGCTCGCTGCTGCCGAGCACATGTCGCCTGCAGGCTTATACGACGCTTCCAACGCGCGAATTGTGCACCATCAAGATTGCCCTCTTTGGGAGATCATAAGCAAGAAACTTGTTCCAAGCAGTCGCCTCAGATATGGCGTCGAACGAACACCACCTATGGTAGGCGCGGAAGCAAATGACGCAATGCCCCCAGAGATGTGTGTAGATGATGAAGTCCTTTATACCTCCACAGTTCCTTCGCCGCTCATCACGTCGTGTAACGTTCCAATAAAAAGCGCAGCTCGTTGACATCCCCGTCGAGTGCTATGGCCTCTTCCTCGCATTTGTCGGAACGTCCGAGTTCTCGCTTTTTCCCTTCAGGTGGAGATCGACGACCCGAGCGAGCTGAACGAGACCTTCCTGCTGGACCAGCTCCATCCCAAGCAGAACATCGTCAAGCAGAAGTTTGCAAAGCCCAAGGGGCCTGCCAACCGCGGTGCCCGCCGCCTCATCAAGTCCAACGAAGCGGGCGGCGAGTAGCCGCCGCGCCAATGCCCGTTCCCCTCATCGGGGGAAGGAGAGCCCACCGCCGATGCCACCCCGCTGTGTTTTGCCTTACGAAGGACCGCAGAAGACGATCCGAGCCGCCCCGGCGCCGCAAACGTTTCGCACAATTACATGCCCTGCACGTTGCTGCGCCCCTCCCAAAGGACTCTCGACGCTTGCGAGGCATTAAATTGGCTTCGACAGCTCATAATTGGGGTTGCACGTTTTCGGTAATTGCTGATGAAACTCGAAAATCGACCCCGTCACTGGTTTTCTCAAAATCGGGGAAAACCGAAAAACCCGTATTAAAGTTGTCGTCTGATACAAAAAAAAAACCACCTTCGGAGTGGGGGGTGGGGAATCTTCAGCTACATTTTCATTTTGCATATTTTCTTCCGACACAGCTGCGCTGGACTGACCGTGAGGCTATTTCTTTGTCAGGGAACCGGAGCCCTCATTTTGTTTCCTTCCTTATTTGGTACGTGGAGGTTTTCAGAGGTAATCACGTCGTGCGCATGATCTCCGGAGATCTTGCGCCAATCTTTTCTTTAAGGCCCGATAAATGCTTAATTTTTGTCCGACACTGAAAATTGATGCCGGAAAATTTGTGAGAAAAAATAATCGTCAAACAAAAATGCTTCCGAATTTGAAAATAAAAACGCACCGAAGACACTTGATGCTTACATGTAGGAATGCGGAAACATTATGGTCCCGCAGGTGAAATGTTTTGCTTTGGTGGTGACATCACGTTCCCCCACTGCGCAGGCGCGCTGTCCCCGCCGGCTTCATGTCTTCTGTGACGAAGCATCTGGGTTGCTGTGCTTTTGTGTTTTATTTCTGAGGCACGTCTGCTTTGACCTTGAGCGGCGCGTGCTTGATGACATATTTTTATGGCCATCTTTCGGGCACAACGCCGACGCCTTTTCCCTTAATGGGACATATAAGGTTTTCGCCTTAAAAATACTGAAAACATGGAACCCCGCTCGTAATCCTCTGCGGTCCGTCGTGAGGTAAAAACCGGGTGCAAGCGACGAGCCCGCAGTGCCAGATCTTCTACGCCACCAACTTAAAGGGCAACTCCGCTTCTTTTCCAGTAGTGCAAAACTATACAGTTCTCTTTGTTATCATCTACAAAACTCCTATGGCAAATATTACGACGGAATTCCGCCTAGAAGTTCATTAAAATCGCTGTCAAAGTTTGACAAGCACGAATCCGCTGGTTTTGGATGACACGTGCGGACCAGACAACACTGCCCGGCTGCATTTCCGCTTCCTCCAAATTCCTTCTCCCGGCACGTCCACGACGTCATCAAGCATGTACAGCTTCTTTTTTTTTTTTTAATTTTATTTTCTTTTCCGGGGAGAGCACGGGTGGCGCCAGCGCCGTGAAAGACGTGAGTGACGCGCTCGGCCGGCCCGGCGCTCGACTATTGATACTACTGATAAGCCGATCGCCTCGTTGAGCGCTGCTTGTGTTACATCCCATACTTTTGAACGCAAAGTAAAAGGAGGAGAGGGAAGCTGCTTGTGTAAGAATTTTGAGTGACAGGTTAATCTTCTATAATCTTCTGGGAGGAGAATAGCGACGCCTGTGCTAATCCAGGAGGCACAAAAAAGGATCCTGATAAGAGAGGAGCTCCTTCTTCCCTTGTATATCACGTGGGTGTACATGCTTAGTGATGCCGAATATACAATGTTGTCCGGCTTTGCCACCGTTTCGGTTTCGGTTTGTAATCATGGCTAGAGTAAAATTACACTAAAAATATTTTATTTTTCGCGAAACAAAAGATTGGGGATTGTTTTTGAGTGCTTCAAAAAGCAAAATCGGCCACTATCTCAAAATTTTTGAAATTAAGCGGAGTTGCCCTTTAAGGGCAGCGCAGATCATGCATCGGACGGATCGACTGCGTCGCTGGTCGGCCGGGACTCTCATCCTTACCGATCAAACAAGTCCCAGCCAGTCGACACAGCTGCAGTGTCCAAGCTCTGTCCTGCGCTGGCCCGCGACGAGCGACGTAGGAGGTCCGGCACCGCAGGCCCGTTCTTTGGGAGGTCTTGGCCCCGACCACGCCGCGTGCCTCTCTTCATATTTATCGATTCCCCTCCCTTCTTCGTCGTCCTTTTTATACATGGGGAGGCTCGCAACACGGAGGACTCGGTAGTGCCTTTCGTCGTCGCGTCAAATCGCAGGGATGCACGTGGGCTGGACGAGATTGCAGACGAGGAACGAATGTGCACCTAGAAAAGAAAAGACTGAACTCTGCCGGTTGTTACTTTTTTTTCTTTACTTGACCATTGTGTCAAAGTTTATTACAGTTATTACTTCCTTTGTGATAGTACTTATATCTCCTTTTTTTTTTCGGTGCCGTTTCATTGTCTACGAAGTCCAGTGCTTGGCAGGTTTTCGAAACAGACGAGCGGTCTGACTATTTTTTATCGCGATAGGCCAATGAAAAGCGTCCTTGCATTGTTTTTTTTTCTTGCGTGTTTTTGTTTGGTAGTTTGCCTTTTGGGCGTTTGATTGCCCACTTTATTTAATAAAGAAGAAACTTGCTCAAGACTTGCAACTGTGATCTGGTCTGCTTTGGTGCTCAATGCAAGAGGTGGCAAAGAAGCCGGCACTCAGTATTGTTTAGCCATTCAGTATGCTGAAACGCACCAGGTTTCCAGTCCACATCTACTATGGTACTCTTGAAACCTTCAACGACTTTAGCACCTCACCGAAACCTCTTTTCCGTTGCTTCGAAGCGACCCGTGGTTCATATGAAAACGAAATATACATTTGAAGCTAGTACTTCCTATTCACTAGGAAAAGCTGAAGTGATACTTAAGTACCACTTCATCTTATATGTCTGGTTGTGCCTTCTGGCCTAACTAAAAGCACACAAAGTAATGTTTCATTCCAAACAGACACTAATGAAATTTCAAGCAATGTTTTATTCCAAAAAGACACCAATGAAATTTCGAGAAAATGAACAATGCTGCAGTCTGCTATTAACTGAACATTTTGCTGCACCTCAATCTGTGATGTCCCCCACAGCAAGGCCATCAGTGACAAAGGTGTTAAATTTTGAACTAAAGTGAACGGATGCAGCTATTCATATTCATTTAATTTAGTCTCCGATCTTATGCATTGCCCACTGAGTAGCATGCACTCCAGTTAAGTATGGACAGAACTGCTATTCCACGTGTCTGAACTGTTATAAAATTACCCAGGTTGATGTGCAATGAAATGGTGAATAAACTAACATTTTACAACGTAGAGGTCGCCTACCCTGAAGGTACAATCTCTCAAACACAAGTTGGTAATGGGACCGTGAACCACCTCAATTTCCCCCTTTCAGAGGGCTTCATTGGCTGCCAGCTTCCAATGAGAAATTTGTGAGTTGCACAGCGTCCAAGTGAACGATTGTATCTCCTTCGAGCCCAGTTGATATTGTGCTCTCATTAGCTGAGACTGCCAGAAAATAATGCTCTTGTCTAACTAGGGAAGTTTGGGGTCACGTCGTTTCCGCTTTCTGTTCCTGAGACGCCTGGACCGCTTCAGCCACAGAGGACAGTTCTTTTTTGTGTTTCTTGTCCCACTTCGCTTTCTTCTCGCTGCAGGCAGAAAAAAGATTTATTTTTAGCAGAAGATCAATATGCAGTCTTGGTATGAATAACTCCGTTCCCCGGAAAAATTGTTGATGATAACGACTCCAGGTCGGTCTCAAATGATAATCGACAAAAGCGGCCACAAAGGACGCTGTTTATTTTTCAGGACGCCTACTTCCAAGTGGTGAGGAAGTGTCCTGCCTTTATTTACCTTTATGCGCAAGAGGTACACATGACCTATGAACGTTCTTCAGGTTTGTCATCTGTGACTGTGACACTTTGCAGAGAGAATGGTAAGTGACCCATTTCAGAGGAAAGGCACAAAACTTCAAACCATTTTTCAGTGCCCAAGTCTTGTCTCTTTCTCAGGAAAGGCAATGAACGAACGATAATGAAGCTCTGGGTGTGCTGTGACCCAACAGCTTCACCAATATTTCTTTTTTTTTTTTTTTTTTTGCATTTGTAGGTTGTTTTAAGTTTGCGAACACACTTTTTAGTTCATTCACAGACTATAGCTGTACATAGTTCAGACTGCAGGCTTCCATTTTAACGAGGCAGACTTTCGTGGGTGGCGGGTCTGCCCCCCAGAATCTTTTGTCTACAATAGACTCCCCTTATTTCAAAATTCAGGAAGTCACAAATTTTGTTTGAATTATCAGAAGTTCATCTAAATATGATGCAAGATAAAATTGTGATTTGCCATATGAATGGCTACACATGCAAAGCAGATATTTGATGATTTCCTCTACATGAGCCTACTGATCATAAGCAGGTATGCCACACATAAAACATTTGTGAAGTGTATAACAACTTTATTTAGCCCTCAAAACTGCTTTTTCATGTACTGTTTAGGCAGCACGTGACAACTAAAAGCAAAATAAGTTTGTTCATCAGGCCAAGAAGTTGCCTAACAAGAACAAGGTGAGCGATGAAAACAGGCAGAAAGCGGCGGTTTTCATAGCAACTTGCGCGGACGCTGGGAGGTGACTCTATGCCATGCCGCCACGTTGCAGCATCTGCGCAGGTTGCAATGGAAATTTCAACGTGGTGTCTGTTCTCACAGCTCATGATGCCCTGTTTGAGCCCCGTTGAGTGCGCTTCTCCCCAAGCACCAGTGCACTGCGGGGAAGCAACAGTCGCGGAAGAAAGCGCCGTGGGTGTTGCCTCTCTGCAATGCACCGGTGCTCAGAAAGAAGCGCCCTCAACGGGGCCGCAAGAACAAAAATTACAAATTATACGAAACCGCCGTTCTAATTAAGCGGCTTATGAATACGTTAAAAACATCGCAGGACCACCAAAACTTTGAAATTTGTTTTAATTTACCAGAAGCATAAAAACTCAGTTTGAATTATTGCGAGCCTACTGTACTAGCGAGGTGCCCGTGGTAACAAGGTCCATATTAACGAGAAACGACTAGCTGACTTGCATGCCCCACAAAACTGTTCCTTACTTGTACTCCTTCATCCAATATTGGTGCTGCCAGTACCGGAACTCGGGCACCGTGATGCCAAGGGCCTTTGTGCCGACACACATTGTGGTTCCGCTAACGAGCCTGTAGGTCAGGCAGCGGGGAAGGGAAAGATCCAGAGTTTTAGTCGGCTGCGTTTTGAGTGGCATAGGGCCCGTACTCGGGAGTGCGGGCATAGTGGAAGCAACAATGGCAAGCTCCAGACGTCCAACATCCCTGCAAAGCTTGCACGCTCGTGCAATGCAAGCATCACTCCTCAAGGCCACATGCTCGTGCTTGTAGCTTCCCCTTTGCCCGCACTTAAAATAAAATGGAGTATAGAATTTCTGAAAAAACGCTAACAAAGTTGTTTCAATTAGAAAGCTGGGTTCGCAGAGTGGTTTCAATAGAAAATCCAAGACTGAAAAAAAAAAAAAATCATGAGCCATTCCACTTTGCAAAGGTGGATGACCAGCGAAGCTGTTTAGCACATTACACCGACCTGCCCCAAGGAGCCAGAGGAAACTAGACATGCTCGACGGGAATGCCACCCGGCGAAAAGTAGAGACGCGCAACGGGACCGCCACCCCGGAAGAGCGGAAGGAAAGGAAACTAGACACGCAAGCGCTTGGAACGACGACAAAGAGAGGGCGGTGCAAGCGCAGACGTGGGCGACACGGGTCGGTAGCAGCAAATATTCTGAGAAACTTTCATTATCTACCCGAGAGTACTGATATTGAAAATGGTGCCTATTGATAACTAATCTACTGAATAGACCTACTGCTGAATTACCCAAGCATCAAGGAGAATGCAGGGAATGGTGTTATGCAGATGCAGCAGTAACTGTTCTAAAGCAAAAGCCTAAAACAAACAGCATCTTGCACGTGCGTTCGTCAACGCTTTATTTTGGTTATTTACTTCGAATCTTTCCTACGGGGAAGGCATGCGCGTGCGGCAGTGCGAGCGTAGAGTTTTTAGTCACTGCACACAAAACATTTACAAAACCCTAGCCATAAACAGCTTCGTTGTAAAATGCAAGTGAGGGTCGGATGACATGGGAGTTTTCGAGTGTCGAGATGTTGCAACTCCTTAACAGTAAATTCCAAAATTTGGGGCCTTTTAGAAGTTGCCTGAAAAATAGTAACTTATACTTTAAGTGGAACATTAGAGGTGCAACTTGTGCTCATCTTTTAACGTCAACTTTTAAAAGTGACGAGGCCCCTAGCAATGGCGTAGCCAGGGGGAACGGGAGGGGGGGGGGGGGGGGGGGGGGGCTTAAAAACGGAAACAGCAATTTTTTGCTTAAAAACATGGCAAAACGTTTTTTTAAGTGAATAAACAATGTTTTCACATCACTCTGAACTTATAAGCAGTGCCGCTTCACGGAAGTACATCGGCAAGCTGCATGCGCACGAAAACTGTCAAACTGGGTCGAACCGGATTTTCCTTCTCTCCCGTGCCTATTCAACTCCCGCAGGGAGCGGGGAGGGGCAAATCAAACATCAAGGTTGTTAGGGTGCCTAGATGTCTGTCTGTCTCAGGGTGGAGACATCCATTGTTGTCCGGAATGTGCCAGCGCGTGACGCTCTCGCGCACTCGGTGCGTGACTTGGGCGGTAAGATGGCGTCTATGCATTAGCCAAAGCTACGCGCTCGAGCTGAGTGACACCGGATTGCGCGCACTTCAAAATGCATAAAAAAACGATTGGGCGGAAAAATGGCTGAGATGTCACCACTCAAGCAAAAGCGCGCGTGTGTATGAAGGCACTCTAAAGGTTGTAATCCGTTGATGCCACCAAGTGGCAAAGCTCACAACTGTGCCGATGTTTTCCTTAGCAACCAAGGCTACATAGAAGCTGGCGTGGTCGTGAGCTTCGCCACTTGGTGGCGTCGACGGATTACAATCTGGCTGTTTGAACTGCCCCTGCCCGCTCCCCGCAGGAGTTGAATAGGCACGGAAGGGAAATTCGGTTCAACTCAGCTCAACAGGGCTCGCGTTCACGCAGCTTGCCGACATACTTGTGCGGAGCGGCACTGCTTTAAAGTTCATAGTGACTTAACAACATTCGCTTCATTTTATTTAAACAATGTTTTGGTGTCTTTTCAAACAAAAAATTGGTGTCTCCACGGTGTGGCCAGAACATGGTTGACACTTAGGCAATAAAATAGCCGCTAGCATCCCTTTAAGGTTTTTATTAAGTATATAGTCACAATGGCCTTGGAGCTGGAAGCCTACACCACTTACCCCAGGAGTCCACCCACCACCAGACCAGCGAGGGAACCCTTGACACCGAGGTTGACTTTGAAGAGAAAACCGGCGACAGCTGCAAACACGGAGAAACATGGGTGCGTTACGACTTATTTGCTGCAACTACGGAAGGTACCGAATATACTCCGTCTCGCGTAACAAAAGCTACAAGAACAAGCTGCGGGCTTTCAATTATACTCTGCTTTACCTTTCGACGGACCGCGAAGGATGCTACGAGCTGTCAGAGCCGACCTAATGCCATCCGAGCGTCGAACGCTCTTTGGGAGGGGTACAGCGATGTGCGGGGCGCATGGTTATGCGACACATTCGCGGCGCTGGATTTGCCAGGACAGGTTGTAGCATCTTCTGCAGCCCGTTGTAATGTGGAACGGAGTTTTGAGCCACTAAAGAAGCTACACTTCAGTGTAACAACACTCCAGCCATCGGATAGATGGCTGGATGCTAATGGCTGTGCTCTTTATAACGGGCAGTAGCTTGCGCCGCCTAGCCCGGGGCTTAAAATCATTGTTGCCAGCTGTCTGAAGTGTTTTTTGAGATTGCAGAAAACGACTTTCCGTCTTCCGAAAATGTGTGAACAGTTCACGACGGCCAAAAAAACATTGTTTTAGCCTCCCGACGCTGTATACAAAGCTTGGGAGATCGCGTTTTCAAACCGTGACGATCCCCAATTGCACCCGCTCTGCATTAAGCACCCAAATGGCTTGGCTCGCGAGAAAATCAAGCAACGTAGCGCCGATACTTCGAGTGTAGATCATCCAGTGGGGCTGCTTTCAACATTCCCGCCAAGCATGTGCACTTCTGCGGTGCAAGCAACCGTGGACGGCGTGCTCGTGTTTGTAGCTTTAAAATTGCTCACGTGTAAGGCAAAACAAACTATGGTTGACAAGTGTACTTAATTGAAGGGGCTGCCCTGCTTACGAGCCAGGCCCATGCACCCACCAAACTTACCGTTTACCTCCGGTTTATGGTAAAATCTGTAGTGGACAATGAAAAAAAAATGCGAGTGGACAAGCTGGAAGTCGGTTTAAGACAGACTTCATTCTTCCTTTCACTCGCGCCGCTCACGTTGCCTTTCTCGTTTTTTCAACTGCCACAATGTTTTTCTCAGATTGAATTTTATCCATGCAAGGACGACAGCGAAAAGCATTTCTGTTGATCTACTAGGCATTTTGGATCCCATGTCCTCAATACTACTGTTCGGCGAAATATTAAGTGACACGGGCCATTTACAAAAGTAAAGCCATTCGCTTCAATGTACAGCCGTCGATACTACAATTAAAAAAATTAGTTCACCCTGCATCAAAAATTTGATACTCGATACTATGTGTTCTGGACCATGCACAGTTGATATGTATGATTCAGACATTACACTGTGTACTCGACACCTCAATTAAAGCATAGCCCTCTGAAACAGGAGGGGAACTTGGATCAATCATTGCCCAGAAAAGTACAATATCTTACCTCCAGAGGCCACGTGCTCTGCAATGCCAAACTTGTTTCTGTACGTCAGACCCGAAACGGTACCGAGCCTGGAAAAGCGACATCACAGTATCAGCCGCAAGCACTGTGCACGGTGTTGCGACGGCCTTCGCTGGGGACTCAAAACGAATGTCTTCCAGAGGCCACGAGACCATCTGGAATCGCGGGCCCTCGCGAGGAGAAACACCGGCGTACGTGTGCGTGCCTGTGTGTGTGTGGGTCTGTTGGTGTTGGGTTTCAGCAAGAACGTCGACTCCTTACATCAGCCACCAGAGTGCAGCAAGAACGTCAAGGAATTACATCATCTGCGTCTCGCTGAAAGAACGCCCGGAAATTGCCTCAGCCGCCCCCGCACTTTGGACACCTCGTGAACACTTGAACACCAAGGAAGGCTCCTTTCTCTCAGAGGGCCTTCTCGCCCTCGGAGGGCTATATAACTTGGGATTGGGGAGCCAGAAATCGCTGACTGCAGACTGCCGATTGCCGATTAACCAGTCAACCATGCTACTTGTATATTCACTGTATATAAAAGTTATACTTCAGTACTCCCACTCCAGGCCTGTTTCCTCGGGGCCATGCTAGCAGCGAGCCACAGCCCCGACTCTTAGTTCCGCACCTGAGGTCGCCACCCTCCCGAACGCAACAGCGGGCAATTGAACGACTGTCCGCACTCGGGCCGTAGAATTTATTTTACTCTAAACTTTTAGACACCGAAGTTTGTTGTGGATCAGCCATAGAGCCTCGGCTGACTTGCAAATGTCGTTCATTGTCGCTCGGCTATCCGACGGAATCCGTTCACGTGCATGCTCAATAGATTGGCATCCAACTCGCCCTTCCTCGAACTTCTGCACACTTTCAAAACACATACCTTTCGCGTCAAAACACTTTCTTTACACTCTGCACAAATTATCAGCACTGGACACACCCTCGGACCATAAAAAATTATTCATGGCAAGCTGCTCTTCTTTTATGGAAATCACGAGGGGAGCAGCCATTGTTTCTTGCACCACAGTCACAGCTCAACTGATGCGATACATTCAAACCTACACAGCGGTGATCCGAGAAATGGCGACCTTGAACAAAAAGTGCTGTTTCAGACAGTGTGGACAACGAAAGTTTTAAAATAACCCAAGCATAGATAATGTCTTAATCACCCTCGTACCTTCCGCCATGCAGCCAAAGCGCGGCGAAAGGCATGAAACGCCTGCTGGAGGCTGGGCATTCAGAAGATAAATCCTGCTGCTCTCACTCTGGCACAGACTATTATAGTCTTTTACTTGAATACCTAGGACCAAATATTTTAAGAAATTAGACAGCTGCATAAGAAAGGAAATATACATATCAGAAGCGAGGAGATTTAGTTACTGAATCGAATGATGTATCGGCTGCTAAAATAGCTTTGTTCCGCAACGTAGCAAAAGTAAAGAAACGGCTGCTACATTTGTGGCCAAAGAATCACATACCGCAGAAAAAAGTATTGAGCATGTGCCCATGTCACGACAGCCGCCCACCCGCTACTTTTGAAACGTTTGAAATTTGAGCATAGGACATGTTGAGCGTCCATTTCAGACTTCCGAGCCGATCCGCGGTCACCGAAAAAATTAGAATGGCAGGGCGTGTCTTTGGAACTCCCGACCTCCGGCAGGTGCTCCGTGCCTTCCGCCATGCACCGGTTGCGCGCGCGCTCGAAGTGCAGGAGGCAGCGTCGAAGGCAGCGAGCTCATACTAAATATAGGAAGCGTCGTCGTCGCCGTTGTTCTAACTTTGTCAGTGACTATAACCAGAGTCCTGCGAGATGCTACGGGTTGCGGAATTTCTCTGCGATGCCCCAGGAGAATTTGGCACGCGACCACGCACGGCGCTGGCGTCGACGAGTCGGTTAAGAGCCGCCAGTCTAGCCAGCACCGCTAAGAGTCTGGCAGCCGGAAAGTGGTGTCGGAATTTCAAACCCACTCTGAAAGAGCCGGCGATCGAATGTGGTGATGCGTCGTCGCAAGGATGGCGTTTTTCATTAATGTAAGCCCCTGAGCATCTTCCGTTCTGTACGCTCAAACTTCAGAGCCACGAGCAGCACCGTCATGAAGAGGCGCAGCAAGTCCGTACGCTCAATTACCTGGCCCCTTTTTGCTAGCAAAAACAGTTTTTAAACAAAAAAAAACGAGGGGGAAAAAACTTAATTCTAAGTTCTGATATTAGAAGTCATTAACGAATGATCGGAGCTTGCATACAGTGATCAATTAGAGGCGTAAAAAAAAAAGTCGGCATACAAGAAATTGTTTTGTGAAGACCACCAGTAATCGCGAATTTTCGGTGGCTCACTGAGTTGGGTGGGCAAACAAAAACGCTCCCTCTGGGACTGTGGCGCTCCTGGCGGCACTTTCTGGTCCCGTACCGAACTTTGGACCAAGTTTCGTGGCCAGTAGCGTATCAAAGGACATTGCTACAACTGACCGAAAGGCTCCTCCTTGTCAGCTGCTTCTCCGAGCAACCTGGCGCAAAGTGGTGAAGCCTGCCCTGTCACGTGCCCCCTCCCACATCTTTGCTCTCTGACCTCGAACTCCCGTTTGGACGCCTGCTGTTATTTTGTAAGGCACTCTCATTAAACCATACCCAACTTAATTTCGTCTCTCGGTTTGGAAGTAAGAACTCTCGCATAAAATTACGAATGACACGCTATTTTAAGAAGTCGACTTCAAAAAAGAAAGGCTTTTTGTGACATATGTGTCTCGTGGCCAAGGAACCCTTTAAGGTCTCGACATTGCAGCATTAGAGAGGCGTAGAATCCTAGACACCTCGTAAAAAATAGCGCACGGAGTGTTAGACACATAGCTACGCACCAAGGAATACCTTGGATCTTCTAAAATAGTCCTTAAACTGGCAAAATACTTTGGTTGGGTGCGAGGGCAGCCGAGGAAATTCTGGAATTCCGGGATCCCAGAAGGTACTCCAGGGAACCCTGAGGCCCCTAGAAACCCAGTTCGAGGACCCACGGCGTAGGAAACCGGGACAAACGCACTTACACATAGATTCCGGAGAACAGCCCTATCCGCCAGCCTAGCTTGAATCCGCCCCGGAAGAACTCCAGAGCCATCTTGTCCTGCATCTCCTTCTGCAAGAGCCAAGACGCGACTGTCGAGAGATCAACAGCCTCTAGCTGGTCACGTGGAACTGCTAATTTTTTTTCATGTATGGAGCAAGATTAACCGATGCAATCAAATCGTGTAAGCTCACACCGCAACACCCGGGACTCCTGGGATCGATCCTCCATCCTGCCCGTTTCGATCTGGACGAGCGTCGTACCGGCGTGTGGTCGTCTATTGCCACTGCGAGGCGCACGTAAAAGGTCCCGGGCTGGCACGGTGGTGCCGCGTGGCTAAATTTTCTGGCTACGGCGGAGACCCCGGATGCCCACTGGGGCCGTTTACAACGTCCCGCCATCTAAATGTACGCACGGAACGATTTCGAAATCATGTGACTTGATTTGTGCCCACTTTATTGACGGTCTCCTCAATAGAGCAAAGCCTACAAATGAGCACTAAGATCTCTTGGGGTTGGACTGTGTATTTGGAGATCTTCCTCTTTAGCATTTTGTGAAGATTGTTCGAAAAACACCACTAAAGCGAACGAGAAAGTGTGATGAAACATTGTGTTGCTAAAGTCCTTGAACCTCACTTCAAAAGTACATTGTATTTATACTACTTTACTTCCACTCCATCTACACATTAGATATGCATCTTTTATTGTACAATCCATGCGACGTACCAAGACGGACAGAAAAGGTCATTCGTAGACTAAAACTTGGTGTAGAATATACGCAGAAATTTCTTCACCGGACTAGACGAGCCACGATGCCAGAATTCGTAGCTTACGATTTAATTGGAATGATTAGTTGTTTCAATTAAAATTGTGTCATCTATGGCAGAGAAAGATGTGAACATAAAGGGCCGATGCAATTTTTACTTCGAAAGAATTTGCAGTTTTTAATTTTTACATTGTTTATCTTACCAAAAGGAATGGAGGTTGGGCCTCATTCTTTTGAAATATCTCGATATTGTTGCGTAACATAGCGAAGCCAAGATCAGAAATATTTCGCGATTTGCAGCCGTGGCCATGAGAACTAGGCACGACGCCAACCTGAGTGCATTGTAAAAAAGTTGGCAAGATGTGCCATGATGTGCTCTAAAAATTGGCTTGCTCTTTATGTTTATACAGCCTTGATGGAGATGCGCCTCAACGGGTAATCGGTCTCTTAGCTGTAGATGAGAAATTTAGCCAGTGCGGTACAACCGCTAACCTGGGATTTTTAACGTGCATCACGCAGTAGTGATCACACGAACACGTGCCGGTACGAAACTCATCCAGATCGAAACGGGCGGGGGCGGCGGGGATCGAACCCAGGAGGTTCCCAGCGCAAGCTTTCGCTCCATGCTCCGAGCTGAGACGCGTTAGCCCACTCGGCCACTTCCTCCCTTGATGTGCTCTATCTGAGACTATCTTTTATAAATATTGTCATTTCAAGATGAGTGAATGCGTCAAAAGCCTCATATCATTGACAAAATTGTACTATATTAAAGGGGCCCTGCAAGGACTTTTTACTGTTTTTTAATTTGCACCGAACCTGAGCGCACTGAACGTAGTAAATTAGTGAAACTTTTCTTTTCGCGAAATTCGCTTTATTTCAAAAGTTATAGGCAATTTAGAATTACAAAAACAAGCAAAAAATAACCTCCTTCATGACGTCGTAGGTCCTGGCTTGAGTGGCCGTGAACTAGAGGAGGAATAGTGAGCTCATCGAGCGCTCACGGCCGCCGCACTCCGTGTCGACGGCGCGAGAGGGCGCCACTAAAGCATGTTCTGGATAGGCTGTATGCAGCGGGCAGCCAAAGCGGCTTTAATTGCATTTGCTGCGTGATTAATCACTAATTCGGCATGACACTTCATTGGCCACGAACAACAGCAAACACGGGGTAAAGATCAGTTCAGAATGGGAGCCACTTCCCGCTGCCATACCACGAAACGGCCAAACCGCAAGACAAAGCCTCTCGCCGAAGACCTTCGGAACGCTCGGAGCCGGTCGGATCCTCCTGTCCATACGACTGCAGCGCCACCGCGTACATCCGGGATTTTTCCGTGTCGGCGCCTTATCCCACTACTCCTTTCTAGTATCCGCCGTTTTTTCCACCGCTTGGCGGCGGGTATGTCGACGGGTCATTTCTTGTTTCCGTACTTTATAAACTGCATTTCTTTCTTTTATTCATCTATAATAGTGAACAAAAACTACTTTTATAAATAATTGAAACGGTTCGTGCCACTTGTATTTTGTATTTCGACCAAAAAGAAGTTTTTAGAGGCTCTGACCAGTAGTAAGCCCAGGACCAAAGACGTCACATTTTGCGCGCTTTCGGTACCGCGGGTCGCCCTCGTCGGTGGAGGAGGTTTCCGTGTCGCCCGGTTAAAATATGGCACACTGATATTTAGCTACTCTTTCCGTGCCCGCTGGCTTGCCCGAACCCCAAGAGACGTGGAAACCGCATAAAAGGTAGACGCTTAAATATGATTGCAGGGCCCCTTTAAGCTTCAGGGGTGCCACCCACCCAAGGTGAAAAAAAAAATCATTCCTTTTTTGTTCTATTGCTACTACATCAGTCCGACTTCCTTACAAGAAGGCAAAGGCTCTGTCCTCCTCCCCCTCCTTCCCCCTCTCCACATCGCTCAGGGCAACCTTCAAAGTCATCAGGTGTGTCGACAATCGCAAGCAGTGGCGGCGCACGCTGGAGTCTCCGAAAGAAACCCCAACCGGATTCTCCATTTCCCCAGTGCACTTGGTGACACGTCACTGCGTCTGTGACTCGGAAACTTCAACTGTTTAACAACTCTTTAAAAAAGAACTAACATACCCAGGCAAAATTGGTTTTCAGTTCTTTACTCCCAACGTGACAGGGAACAAATCCCACAATGATATGACCGAAGTTCAAAGACTGTTGCACCGCCCCTTTAACCCCTTAACCGTTTTTTGGAATTCCTGACTCTTAACTGCTTGATACAGTTGAACCCGTTTATAACGAACAGCAGGAAATTCTAGGATCAGTTCGATATAGCAAGTAGTTCGATATCGCAAAAAACATATACAACCAACTTCCAAGATGAGTTTGTTGTAAGGCGAGACCTTCTCTTTCTTTCTCATCTCTTCACTTCGGCCTTTAACAACGCGCTGGATTGTTTTTTTGCATGCTTACGAATCGCTTCTCTTCGTAAGCAATCGCTTTGGGATGAAAATATTTTTTTTTTCTGTGTGTGCGTGTAGAGTGTATTTTTTTACCTTTCTCCCCTTCTGAATCGCTTCTGTTCGCTCAATTTTGTTCGCAACTTGAGCTGCTCAAATTTTCTTTCTTTCCTACTTCTTTTTGGGGGGAAGGGACAGGCTAGAAGACGATTCTTTGCGCGTTTTTGGAAGCCTTTTCTGGGAGAAAAAGTTTGATATAGCCAATATGTTGTTCGTTATAAAACATACTTGTTACATGCATTTTCATTTAAATGTTACGCGAGTTCAATATCGACAATAATTCGCTGTACGTAGGTTCGTTCTAAACGGGTTTCACTGAATACCCTTTCAGAAATTGTGAAATGATGCATATATTATGCGCAGCTTCCATTAGGTGGTCTCGTCGCCTCCAGCGAGAAGCCTGTGATTTGTTCCGAGTTCGCACCGACCACTGACGCAGCACTCATATGGAATGCGTTTCAATCCAAGCACACTCCGAATGCTGACGAAGCGCTCATGTCCAATGCGTGTTCACAGAGAATGACCAAACAATGGCGGCCACACATAATCTATGCATCATTTCAAAATTTCGAAAAGGGTCCTATTGTTGGCTTCAAAATTATATTTCTAACCAAAAACAGAATGCAAGCAAAATTTAAAAATTTAGTGCTGCCATTTTTTGGCAGATTTACAAACTAAGCCATGAGCAAGCCTGGTTTGTCCAAAACAGTTGAGTGTGTGAACTAGGGAAAGCAGACGAGTTATACTTGTCCTGAACGGCTTATGGACAGCTCCACGCTGACGAGCTAGGCTCGTCGAAATCGACTAAGGGGTTAAAAGCACGCTTGCATGCCCAGACAACCAATCCTTCTCTGTGGCAAAGGGGCTTGGGGCCTGGGACAAGCCAGACAAAAAAAAGACGACCACAGAAGCGCTCTTTAGTTTCCTAAGGGAGACACGCCTGGACTTCTGCTTACAGATGCTGAACCTCGGCATATGTGACCAGTGCCGTGCTCGCAGAGTTTAAAACATAACTTCTATGCCTTTCGTTCTCTGCTCTCCCTCCTCTTTCAACGTTTCTTTCAATCTCCTCATTTCTCCTCCCCAGCACAGAGTAGTCAACCTAAACATTAAACAAGGTTGATTTTTCGGTCTTCCTGATCTGCCCTTCCTTCCTTCAAGCTGGTAGTCTCTCAGTTTGCCTGAGGCTTACCTGAACTACTGTTTAAATGTACTGAGTCGGCTCGTCAAAGCAATCAGCTTTTTTGCAGAGAAAGTTAGAAGTGATTCTTAGCAAATCTGGATCAGAAATCACTGCTCTGCTTGCTTGCTTTTTTTTTTTTCTTAATCTGCTATCATTCTTTATTGGTAGCAGCAGACATAAGCTGGCTTTTTACATCCACGATTCATAAATGGCGCTAGCTGTCGTACGCACAAGTAGGTAGTTTCGTGATGAAAATGTCATGGAGTGGAACTGGAAAGCGCCATTCATGAGCTGCAATCTGTTGAACTGGCCTACGGCTCCTACCGACGAGGGACAGCCATTCATGACTCATATGCTTCAGAAAATTTCTTCTTAACCTTGATTCAGGTAACATATAAAGCTAAAACTTTTGCATTCTGTGTTCATTGTAGGGCTACCTTCCAGTGAAGTATCAGGGTTGCGATAAGCACTGTTTTTCGTGCATTGCAAAAAAAAGAAAAGAAAGCCTGAATACTTTCTTGGATACTGTATATACTATTCACAGTACTGCATGGTAAGCAAATTTGTTTGCATCTTGCACAGAGGGTTCTGCTGTCACAAAGCTGCACGCTGAGTGGAAAGGTATAGTGGGCAGACAGAAAGGTTAAACTTCCCAGCACTGAGCTCTAATCGAAGTATAAGAGTGGGCAAGCACAAAGCTAGGTGATGTTCATCTCCTATTTGCACAGTAGTTGCTGTGGTGACGGCACTCAGACGTCGAGCTGTGTCGTCGTCTGCAAGTTGTAGCATTGGGTATGATTGTGATATGTATAAATGTGCACACACAAAATTGTCAACTACTTCGAGCAACGTCGGTGAATGCCGGCAGTCGCAGCTTCTGCACTTTGCCAAAATTGGTTTGCAAAAAAGCGCGCACACAAGCCGCTACAGATATATCCCGATCATGATGCTACCAGCACAGAGCAGTTGACAATTGCATGTTTCCTTTCACATGAATTCGACTGAACGCAGTGTTGTGACTAAGACGAGCAGAGAAGCTACAACAAAACAAAGAACACACGATTGAGACACTACCTGCTAAACACCGAGAATGAAGGTCGTGTTCCAAAATCTAGTCAATCTCACAATAGCAAATGTTTTTGTATGTTATTGGTGTTGCTTAATCTGCGTCACGTGATATGGTCTGCTGGAGTAGCTCGGATCCATTCAAGCAAGATTTGGAACACAGCTGGAGCCTGCTGGCACGGGGTTGGGTTGCACACATGATCTATTCCTCTCCTCCTTTGTGCCCTCCTTCTTCATGTGTGGAGAGATGAGTATTAGCAGGTTTTCTCACCATACGCTCCATTTCAGCTTAACATGGCGAAGACTGAATGCTAAGGGTGAAGCAAACAGACAGAATAGAGCGCGGCCAGTCTCCGTGGGATTAGTGAGCACTCCTACAGCATGTTACCGCGGGCCTCACTCCAACTTGCTCGCTGGGGCCATAGCTTTTTTTTGCTGCTTGCTAAGGCACACTGAAATAAATTATCCTAATCGATTTTCACAAGTACCTACCATTGCATCTTTGGGCTTGAGGTAGTAGTTTGCCTCGTTCTGCCTGATATAATTCACTTTGGCCTGCTTGGCATAGTTTAATCCACCACTCAGACCTCCGAGTACGATACCTATGCCCATCCCGGTCTTCACGAGCTCGAGTTCGGGTCCAAAACCAGCGCTGCAGTGCAAAGGAAACGTGAGATCAGCTTGGGAAAAATACCGACAAGTGCATGGTAAATATTGAATTACTAGAATATTATCTGCTACTGACACCAGATGATGACACCAGATCATTATATTGCATCTATCTTTTCGCAATTTTTATGCCACCTTATGTCCGTGAAGCTGCGCGGTTATCGGCGTGCAGAAGCCGATAATTGCCGAATATCGTCTGAATGAAATAAATAGCACTGTACTACGTTGAATCTTGCCAAAAATGAAAAGGGTCCCACCGCCGTGGTCGGGCTGGTCGGGCTACTTACGAGAGGTCATACATGGTCCTCAGTCGATCCCAGCCGGTTTCGTTTTGGAGTACCGCGATTTGCGAGAAGTCAACGGGCCGGTCAATTTCGCTTACGATACCACGGGGGGCCTGGTCATCGGGCTGCTTCTGTGTTGCAGACATGACGATTAAGGACCTAAGCTTATATCACCGATCTTGGGATTTAGCGTGTTTTGTTCACTTCAGCTAATGAAAATCGAATCCGACGCTCTTCAAAATCTCTTCAGCCATTTCTCCATGTGCCGCAGCGACCATTGGATTGGCTTTAAAAAGTGCTTTGTGTCGGCTATTCTCATCCTTTTCCCGCTTTCCAGCAGGTTACATAACTTAAGAAAAGCACCATTTTTATAAGGTACTATTAAACAAAATCTGAGTACGCTTTGTTAGTTTTATTTTAATATGCATTTTTTATTGTGCAAGTATTATGGGCCAGAAGCCAGAAGCAAGCCAGGACTAGCCAGGAACAGCCAGAAAACCGGAAAGGAGAGAAAGGAGAAAGGAAAGAAGGGTAGAAAGACCATCTTGAAATGTTGACAATTTGGACGTGAGATTCTTTGCGAAGAAAGTCGCCGAGAGTACACAAAAACACCCCAATATCGCTTGCTGGACTTCGTGTCGCGCCGCGAACTATAGCACGTTGATCCTACGACGGTACTTCTGTTGCAAAGCAAGGTAAGCTTCTGGCCTTGAGTCCAGAAGCAGCGGCCGGTGATGGTTTCCCGTCGACTGCCAAAATTCGATGCCTTGGGTCTCGCAGCCTTTCTGCGATTGTTACGTGTTTAGGGAAAACGCCGTAGAGACGAAACTGTCTGGTCACTTCTTCTGTTTTTATCGTGCCCCTGCCCGCGTGTTTTTTCAAACATCTTTCTCCGTCTACGCACGCCCCACGAACAGAGCTCGGCCTAGCGCCCCAGGGAGCCCGAGATGAGCGTGGACACCGGCGCCTACGACGGGGTCGCCTTGGCACCGTCGAGCGGATCCAACTTGACCGGTTCGAGGGACGAACGCTCCCGGTGCCGAGACAGGTGAGGTCGTGGATTGGGGCACTGTTCGAGGATTACCTTTCGAGCCGTTGGCTTCCTTGCGCCTGCATCGGGCTCGATGTTGTCCGATGGGCCGTTGTTTTAGTTCAGAATCGCTGTAAATACCATGTATAAAATGTAAAACAATAGGTTTTTTTTTTTTTTGTGTGTATAAAATTTGAGATTGTGGTGAGGGAAGTCGAAGAGAAAAGGCACAGGAGAAGCCGTCTCAAACGCAACAAAATCGTTTATCTTTTCCCGCTCCTTGTATATCCCCGAAAGACACCAGCACCTGCACTCTCGGACAGACGCTTCGTTCAGAATGCACAGATTTTTTTTTTCCCTCACCACAGTCTCGGGTTTGAAACATTAAGATGAACTTTCATAGCTCGCCAAAAGAATCTGCCCCCGAAGAACTTATGACGGCTTGTTAGTAAGTTGTAGTAAACACGCTGGCAAGGTGTTGCCTGATGATTCAGATTTACGACTTGTGGCAGCCTTCCCTTTTTTTAGCACTACTATTGTGACCTCGGATAATTTGCGCTTTCAGAGTTAGTTTTGGACCGTTTGGATGACTGAGGCACTTAATTAAAATACAGAAATTGGCTGGTTTATTTTAAACAGTAACAATGAGATGGGTGGGGTGGTCGCAATTGCTGCATTAAAAGAGTAGTGAATTTAAAAGAAAATGACTAAAACATGGTAGCACTGCAGCGTATTTATGCAAAGAAAATGCGTAGCATAGGTTAGAGGCCTGCACGGGCCAATATTTACCAGCTCGGCCCAGCCCTGCCTGCTGCCTCTTAGGCCCGGGCCCGCAACGGTAATTTTCACGGTCCCGCTGAGGCGTGCATTATTTTCGTCCAGTATTAATAGTTCACAAGTTGTGCGGCATGGCAGCTCGCTTGCCGCTGCTACACATGTTGACTACGGTATCCGATAGTCAATGCAGTCAGCATACCTTCTTTTTTTTTTTGCTGCTATTATTAGTTGGACCAACCTGCAGGCCTAGGTGCTCATTAAAAGAAAGAAATAACCACGATCGTCCTTTTTTGCGACCCAGCCCGCGTATCAGAAATTAAGGGAAAAATAAAATTGGGAAGGAACAGTAAACAAAACCGTTTGCCAAAGTTTAAAAAGAAGAAAAACATTGCGATGGGTTTGAACAAGAGGCGGCCAAAGTTTTGTTTTCCCACTCCCGCTGTGTACAATTAAAAAAATATATAAAAAATACTGCCGTTTATTGCGGTGGTCTGCGTTTAAGTTGTTTAAGAAAAGCACTCTTGAGGGGAACCTTTTCACCCATATTGTGGATGGATGCACTCGTACGTGCAGATGGTTTACGCCTGTGAGGGTGTGCATCGTGTATGTGTGCGTGTCGATGAGGAGAAGCGACCTTGCCAGGGCGGCGGCACCACCGGCGACGAAAATGACCGCTGCGCCGCTGGTGCTCTGAAAGAGCATTCGACGCACACACACCGAACTGCACAAACGGATATACAGATGTGCACACATGCTTTCAGCATTTGAATCTCCCGAAAAAGATTGCTGCTAAAAAAGAAAAAAGATAACAGTTGGCTTGGCTTGCTTTTTGAGCCTGCCTTGTAGACTTGAATGCAAGGCCCATGCTCGGCCCGGGCACTTCATGAATGTAACCGTGAAACTTAAGCTTTGCCCGTGACTTGCAGGTTGGCCCATACCCATGCATACCTTTAGCATGGGCATAGCAGGACACGAAGAAGGCAAGTAGCTTCATGTTGGCACCAAACACTGCACAATCTCAATGTAAAAGACTAAATTATTTCCAGACTAGGCATATTGATTGTTCCAGTTAAGTTTGATTTTGATGGTATTCCACTTTTTTTTTCATTTGCTGATGATGGACACTTCCTCCTGGAATGCTATGTGATGCTTCTTTCGGTCCAAGTTAGAGCTTATGCCCATGCAGGTGCATTAAAAACGAAGGAAATAGTTTGTTGCCTGGCTGTTTGAGCATCATTATTTGAAGTGGCCCCTTGAATGTGACAAATATTTACTGTGCTTTCTTAAGCCCTCCAAAGAACTCTTTTAATTGCCTACCTATGCTTACTAAGCTTGCTGGCACCAGAGCTGCGGGTGTGAATTCATAGCCGGGCACAATGTTGCAGCGTTTCCACTGCTTGCTTCTACAGACATAATGAAGCCTATGGAGGCTCTTAGCTAAGTGTCCATACTGAAAGACCACAGTCAACTCTAGCAAGCGTATGTTACACTGTCAAACCCCCTGTTTACATTTTAATTCATTCTTGGGATATAAGGGCAGTTTGTCGTCAGGTCTCTGAACAAGAATGTTATAAGGATACTAGAACAAAATTTCGGTGCTTGTTGTTTGGTCGTCTTTACACCAGCTCATCTCTGTGACGTCACAGCGCGGTGGTGGCGCGTCGTTCGCACTTCCGGTCTGGGGCTGTGGGCAGAAGTCCCCATGCCAGACGTGTATTCCTGCGTTGTTTTGAAAGGAACCAGACAAAAACCTGCCTTCTCGTCAAAACACCGTGACTGGGGCCGTACCAAAAGTGTCGAGAAAGGTTGGAAGGTCAGTTTTCAGGTGCTCGGTTCGTCCGAGAATCTGGATATGCGCCGTAAAAAGGGAAAAGCAGACGCCTTCGTACAACGATTGCTTGGGCGGGAAGCACTTTGGGTTGAATTCACGGATACTTCTGGTCATCAGATTTATTTGTTTTGTTGCAACATGAACGCCAGAAAAACATCAAGTTGTGCGGACCACCTGCGGACTACGTTCAGTGCGTCTTCAAGTTCAAGCGGCCGCCTGATCGTTCGAGCTGTCGTCTGCTCTCTCAAACGTTTCTGCTTGTCGTCTGCTCTCTTAGACGCCGCCAGCCCGTATATGTTGGCCCGGTACTTGCGATAAGAAGTAAGTGCAGGCCTCAAAAGACTTACGTTTGAAGGTTGGTAAGCAGGCTCGATGTAAACAGTATATACAAGATGTTGATCATTGTTACCAGTGACTATCACTGGCTTGCTATGCCTAATTGACCGATTCTGCTTGCGATTTTCAGTATCGACGTCGACCATCTCAGCTACGGTTCACGCTTTTGCAGCCCGAACGGCGTCGCAACTGAAAATTGCAAGCGAAATCTCATCATGCGAATCAGGTTTTAGCGTATATACTGCGGCGTCCACGCGGAATGAATCGCCACATGTCACATTATTCGCGCGAAGTTTCGCGGTGTAACGAGCCTCGGTAATTTCGCTGACGCTGCTCAAGTAGTCAGACATCGCCAGGAAGACGTAAAATCAACAATTCGAACGCGAAAAAGAGCAGGGGGACTCACACCGACGCCTATAACATCGCATTTCAATGGTTTGTCTATGGGCGACGGCGAGCTTCTTGCCCACACCCCCATCGCGCATGCGCGGCGCCGGTGGCGTCCGCTAGGGGCGCTCCGGTTTGTTTGTAAACATGAGTTGGTGTATACGTGTTCAAAGGAGCAGTATCACATCAGACACATTAATATCTTGTTAGAATAGACACGAAAAGGAATTTTAACACAAATTAAACGATTAGCAAAGAGCACCTGGTGGATGCAGCTAAAGCCTTGTTTTTAATGCCCCTCTACGAACCTTGGCAGGTAGTGACAGTGACTGTCTCATCTAGAACTACACATGCTTTGGACCTGACCTCATCCCGACATCTCATTGGGACTCTCTTGTGTGTGTCCAACATTCGCCATTCTCCCTGTACAAGATTGAAGAAGATTAACCTGTCATTCAAAATTTGTACAAAAGCAGCTTTCCGGTTAGTTGCGGTGGCCCGCTGGCATGCTTGGACCGCTTCGGTGGCTGGAACGGCTAGGGCATCCTAAAGACGTCACGGCGCCGTATATCACGTGCTCTCCTCTTGCTGCTTCTTAGCACCTGTATAAATTAGGGCTGGGCAATTGATCGATTAACCTTCCGATTAATCGATTAAGGCTTTAATCGCGATCAATTTTTTTTAGCCGGTTCATTGGTTTTTTAATTGGTGCCCAGAAAGAGGTCGATTAAACGCACGCACGGCTCTGCCCTGGACGACCTGCCCACGGCGCTTGCCAGAGTGGGCTGTTTATAATGAAAGATACGGCCATCAGGCTCAAAATACAAATGTACGATTGTCATTTACTCATCTTGTGGATCATATTTAGTCTATTTCTGGGCACGACGGGTACATTTCAAATTTCGTATCCTTTTCAGGTGTCAAGTTGGGCTAGTTGGTTACTCATCACTAGATGATTTGCAAAAAAAAAAAACACTGACAATACAAAGAAGATCTGAACAAGACATGGCTTGTCAATGGGAGGTGTGCTGTTACATATCTACTTTCTCTTTTTTGTTTTGTGATTGCAGTGTTATTCTTTCACTGTCAACCTCAAGCTCCATCTTGATCATCATTGCGACCTTCTTAGCACCTGTATAAATTCACGGCATCATTACCATGATGTTATGAAGCACTCGGGGATGTGTGGTTCAGACAACTGCATTTGCTGTGGCTGTGGGGCTGTCCTGAACCTGAAAAGCTGCTACTGTTACTCCAGCCATGTTCTTCAGATGCTTACATCGATTTACAAAATAGCTTCGAGGGTGTACCAAAGAAAAAGACCCTAGCCTCTACCATACATTGAGGATTTTTCCAGTTTTTTTACCCAAAGAACTTTGAAACAGAGAATACACATTGTTTCTTGATATTCTGGGAAAGGAACAGTGCAATAATTTTATTGTTGAAACAATTTTCAGTTTGTATATTATGTAGTTTATCTAGGTAGGAGCGAGAAAAAATGTGCTACCTTTTTTCGAAAAACTGCTACTCCGCTGCGTAATCGCCAAGTAAAAACGGAATTATTTGCCAATTTGCAGCCGCATGTTGCCATTACGGGAACTGCGATGACGCGTCACTGGGGTATGCGTGGAAGTCGACGAAGCCTGTCCCTTTCTGCAGCAACACTCGCCGTCATCCCTGTGGCAAACTGTCTTTTCTATCTATTTCTCGCCGTGACCTTCGATGATGCTAATCCTTGAAAAGTCGACAGTTACGGAGGGAGCGGTTGGAGAATCGAAAGACAGAACCCAAAAGAAAACCAGGTGGCCCCCAGAGAAATCTGTGAAGGACGGCATGAGAGTTAGCGGCCCTTTGACCTTCGATTTGTTCCATTTTTAAAATAAAAACTAGTGCATGCAACAAGCAATCGTTTCCTGTTCTTCGTTTTACAGGCGACACAAATTAATTCCAGCAGTTAATTAGCCAAAGTCCGAAAATAATCGCACCGGGCGTACAGCGCAATAAGACGCAGGAAGAAACACCACAGCAGTGATATTCTTGATACTGGCTGTGTTCCAGATCTTGCTGGAGTTGATTCAAGTTGCTCCTGGGGATCGTGTCAAGGGATAAATGATAGAGTGACACTCGACGGTGAACAGGTTTTGAACGCCAGTTTCGAATGCCGATTAATATTGGAACAGGGTCACTGTGTATGTGTATATGCTGTATTCTCCTGCTAGAGTAATGGTAGGAGTGGAGAGAGCAACAACGCACCTGTCCAGCACTCAAGGGTGCCTTAAAATACGGAAGTGCGACATCAGTAGAGCATCAGGAACAAATATGAAAATGAGCAAAATAAAATCAACACAAGCACTGCTTTCTATCTCCATAGGAATTCAAGAAACCATATGCAAAACAGTATGACTGAAAAACAAATTTCAAGTAGCTATCGAGGCAATTATTGCAATCTGATTAATTATGTGAGCTAACTATTTCTGCTGGTAATATGTTTCAATCCCGAACTGTTCTACGAAAATAGGGATACTTAAAAAACTTCTGTTCTGAAACTATTCAGCGAAAGCCTGGCCGTTAGAATAAAATATAATGGACTGCTCCTCCTTGTACTTTTACGAGTAGAAAAATGTCTGAAACATGCTTACCATTTGGTATCCAACTTCCTACAGGGACCGGCGAAGCGAACGGAGCCGTGGCCGCGAGACAGACTACCACGGCAGCAATCGTGACCCTGTTCGAGGCGATCGGATAAAGCGTGGTGTGGACCGCAGCATGGACCGTGGACCAGACCGCGGACCGGATCACCGCGGTGGTGACCGCAGCAGCAACCGAGGCCGCGACTGGGACCGGGACAGGGACTTCCTCGATGCCGTGTGTGCCCGTTGCCACTGCGTGGCGTGTCACCGGGGCTCAACCAGCGTTAACCGGCGTGCCCGCCCCCTCCTTCCCCTCCCTCTTGATCGCAGTCTCCCAACAACCGGGACATGGCGGCTGGCGACATAGACTACCGGGAATTCAATGAACCGCCTGACCAGCACCGGCGGCGGGAGGCGCACCACAGCAGCGAGGACGACAGGGACTGCTCGCGGTGGCGGGACCAGGACCAGGACCGCAACTGGGCCCGCGGCGACCAGGACCTCAGTTGGGACCGTTCACTGGAGCTCAACTTGCGAGACCGGGAAGGAGAGAGGGAGGAGATCCCGAACGACACGAACATTGTCCGGGGCATGCCCATTGAGACCATCCAGCTGGAGGTGAGACTGTCCCCGCCGGTCTGTAGACCGCCAACCGCAGCACCTCCGACCCCGACGCACGTCCCCTTTGTTTTGCAGCCCAGAAACGAGGTTATTCGCTATGGCCTTGAGCCCAAAGACGACCGTCTGATGAAGCCCAAGGACACAGGTGAGAACTTGAGCCGACATCTGGCTTTTTTTGCTTTTTGTCTCAGAACTCGGTTTTTGGCCTTTTTGGGTGAAGGAGACAGATCTTTGAGTGTATTGCTCTGCTTTCCTCAAAAATGAGTTGGTCAAAGTTGGTACATCTGTTGCACTCTGTTTCCCCTTAAGGAACACTGATGGGGTCTTTATGCTTGCCAAAGTTTTTATTTGTACATGACAAATGAGAGCCCAACTACCCAGAACACAATTTGCGGCTCGAAATTCACTTCCTTTCCGCCCGGAAATTGTTGATCAAGAACTGGCCGGTTTGAGTCGCGCTCACTCTATTCTCCGTGGTTACGGGCCGTTTTCTATGGTTTAGACACAACCACCAAAGATAATCAAAGTCGTTGGTCATCAAAGGCACACACTCAATATTAAAAATAGAAAAAAATATGATACCCGTTTTTTGGGGGGTTCTAAAAAGCTGAAGATACGTTAATTTAATAAAAAATGATTTGCACAGAGAACCGGAAGCACTCTGCATTCTCTGTGTAATTCTCAACATGGCGTCGTGTTGTGGACTGTACAGCTGAACGAAGCTGACTATATGCGATGGCGGTGGACGGCAGGCATGATTAAATGGCAAATTTATTGGTAACTCAGGATCTAGTAAAGCTATATGAAAACTAATTGCATATTTGAAATCACCACTGAGAAATACATCAGTATTCTAAATTTCAGCACGATAAATGAAAAATAATATAACAAAAAGTTAAAGACCAGCCGCCTTTGGATCTGCTGTTTGCGGTAGCGGCGAATCTGCCTAGCTTCATAAGAGAAATCGTTTACCGATCAAAACAATTGAGATTTATTCCGTATGACACGCCCGACCACCAAGTTGATTCGCACTAAAAACGTCGCCGAGTCGTCGTCTCTTTTCCTGGGTGAAGACCTTGCTCGACTTACGAACACAAATTGGTAAGAGCTTCAAAAAAGGGCAAACGTCAAGCACGAAGTGCTGCACTGTTGCGCTTCTTGTGCCACGTGCAAGTTTCTCATCTGCTTTGCACAACCATAAAAAGCGAAGGAAAACAAAAATGCGGTCGAGTGTAGTTGTGTGACTTCCTGAAACACTCTCCTCCTCTACATTTATTCTTCCTCCCCGGTCTAGTTTTGGTTTCGAGCAGCTAGATTTCTTTTTTTTACTTTATTAAAGGTGGGGAATGCAACGATTTCCACACTTCGATCAGAAATTTGTGGAAGTTGTCCTCTGACGCTTTAGAAGTAAAGAACAGAAAACTGATTTCACCTGCGTGTCCTAGTTGGTTGTGTAAAAACAAAGATAAATATTGGCATTTCTAGCACCCCTCAACTCACTCCCAGTCTTCATGGTCGCACTCCTAGTCACGTAATTCGGGGTGCTGTGTAGGTTCCCGTGTGCTCTCTCAGAGGACGTTTCCTCTCCCTCTCTCCGCTGTCTTTAGCGGGCGTCATGCTGCAGCTTAGAGCCGAGCGAGGTCACGTAAGCTTAGAGCCGTAGTTCCTTCGGCTGCCACTTGGAGCTGCAGGTGGGGGAAAAGAGCTCGACTTTTGCTTTGCAATTATGCGGAGGAATCGCAACATTTTTTAATGGAGGAGATGTTTTCTCTATCCTCCGGGACACGATAAACAACATAAAAATGACGAGATGCAAATTCTTTAAATCTTAAAATAGTTGCACGCCCCCTTTAAGAGGGGACACTACCCAAAAAAATTAAAATTCTGCAAAAAAGGTAGATTTTGACAATTCCATATTTACATCCACCAACGTCTAGAGAGTATTCCCAGAAAGTTTCATTAGTTCACACTGCATATTTATTTTTCGATAAATTATTTTCAGCCCGCCAGTGCTATAGAAAAGATAGAGGTTGGAGCACTTTGGACGCGTTTTTCTTTGTTCCACTTTTTGGCATGAATTTCCCTTTAGATAAACTTGTTTGGTAAGGGGATGAAAGGAAAGACTGGGAAGCCGAGAAGGAAGAAAGCGCGGGGGGGACATGCCATGGGCGGCCGAGCGATGCTCGAGACCTGCGTGTGAGCAGTGCGAGACGAGGAGCGAGCAGGAACGGCCGCAGTGGAGCGAGCCCTGAACGATTTGGCGGAACACAGGAGCGAGCCAGCCTTGGGGAGGAACGGCCGCAACGGAGCAAGTCCTGAACGACATGGCGGAACACAGGACTGAGCCACCCCCGGGGGAGATGTGGTCAAGCGCCAAAGAACCGTAAAGTGTTTTCTCACATCTTCTCTAACGTGCGACTTCTTGGGAGGGCGGACCAGACAGAGACCGATCGGGTGGCAGTATTATTGAGCGACCCACTAACTGGCGCATCCATCGTGGGGCCCGATTGGTCTGCCGCTTGTTCCGTTCGTCCCGGGGAGTCTCACAGTTTCATTTAGTGTTCAGCGTGGTGTAGATAGACGCTAACGATGCCACCCAAGACGAGGTCTGCCCCCAGTAGGAACGAGGACGACTCGTCTGAGAGCGGGGTTCAGGAAATGTCCGACATGGCTGGGGCCATGGGAGAAGGCGCTAGTATCCGGACATCTCTGAAGGCTGGGATTTTACCACCAGCTCCAGCTGCAGGCGCGGCAGGCATCGGCGAGTTTATGCGTGCCATGACTGCGATGATGGAGACATTCTCGCGACAAATTGGGACGGCTCCAGGGGTTGCAAATGCCGCGCCTACACGTCTGCCCTGACCACAATCGTCTGTACCGGTGCCGACCTATGCGGGATAGTCCGACGGAAAATCGGTTCACGATTTCCTGCAGGACCTAAACGCGTATGTAGGTGCATTGGGAGCATCAGGAGAAACGGCCTTGGTGCAGATCGTGCCAATCGCGTTAACGGGCGATGTGACGCGTTGGAGACGGTTGCAACGATTGTTCCTATCGATGGCGGACTTCCGTACGTATAGGGAGGAATTTCTGCTACCCGATTATGAAATGCGGATTAGGGACGAGCTGGCTAACCACATTCTGCACCCCGACGCGAGCCTCATGGAGTATGTTCGCGCGCTCCAGGAGCTCTACTCGAGGGCCAAACCATCCGCGTGTGATGCAGAGAGGGTAGCTAGGGTGATCCGGCAATGTCACCCTAGATTGAAAGCTTACTTGCGTGGACGGGGTTTCACAGATCTGGAGGCACTCGCCAGAGAGGCGAGAAACAGTTCAATCGAGATTGCTCGCTCAGCTGCGGTACCACACCCCTCAGAGGGCCGAGGAGTCCCTAAAACCAAGATGCCCATGGACGGGATGCGCCGCGGATACTCGCAGTGAGTCGCACACAGCGTATACAGTCGTTGCGGAGCGCAGTCATGGGCTAGCCATACCACTCCGGGCTTTGGACCCCCTCATTTATAAGCAAAGGCGCAGGGGAGCCAACGCAAACTCGGCCCGAGTGCAGATCCGTAGCGGTGACGCAACGTTTAACCACCACGGAGGCACGACTGGTCACAACACAAGAATCATGACTCACCGCAGGTAGCCACAAATGATGTGCCGTGTGAGGGTATTGATAGACAGATTGCACGTAACGACCGGCCACAAGCCAGGTGTTACAACTGGGAAACGCCAGGGGCCAACGCCACTAATCAGGTCCTCTGAGTTGAGGTTGCCGGCCACTGCCGAGGCCTTGCATCAGTGTGCCGACGGGGCGGAAGTTGCGGCCGGCGACTATGTGGCGATGGCCCCGTCGGCATGTCGGGCTCAGGGCACGACACCTGAGAAGTGCCCGTATGTGCGGGTGGAGATCGGTGATAAAAAATATTTGGCACTAATTGATACCGGCTCTACTCTTTCCCTACTTGGAGATATTGTGTACAAGGACTGCTCTATAACAGAAACCCTTGCGCGTGGGAACTTAGAACCAAAGCACAAGTCGCAAGACGCCTTCACCTTGGTTTCGACGGTAGACGGAGGAGGCAACGTTTCATTTACTTGGCTGGTATGTCAATTCCTGTTATTACAGGGCAGGACTTTGTCTGCTGCTAAGGGTATAATCCTGGACTTGAGGAACAACGGATATCACTATAGTGCATTTTCCCCTCTTATTCTCTATGTTGCCCCATCATTTTTGGCGCAGGGAATGGAATGCTCGCTCGCTGGGTCACAGCAGGAGTAGGTATTAGCTGCACGAGTCGTGCCTGGTAACGTTGAAACGATAATTGCGTCTTGCGATAGGCCGTCAAATGCTTTATCTTGACACACAGCTATGTTTACCGAGAGGCTGTCTTACAACTGTTTTACAACATAGGATAGATACGGGGAGGCTAAGCAGTGGGGTTGTAATCCTAGACCGCAAAGTGTACATAAACGGGCTCTTCTAGACACGGTTCTCGAGGAGATGCTAGACATGGGGGCGGTGCAGCCATCGCAGAGTCCCTGGGAGTTTCCAGTAGTTTTGGCGCCAAAGAAAGTCAGCGTTGATTACCTGGTGGTGGGGGCGCAAGGGTTTTCACCTCGCTGGATTGTAGCAGGGGTTTTCTCCAGATCCAGGTGGCACCAAACGGCGTTCACTTGTTGCAGGGATTATTTGAGTTTACCCGTCTTCCGTTTAGATTGTCGAACTCGCCGTCGAGATTCAAATGGCTCATGGACATCGTGCTGGGTGATGCAAAATTTACCTTTGCTATGGCCTACATGGACGACGTTGTGGTATTCTCCAAGTCGTTCAAAGAGCACCTAACTCATCTCGAGATAGTCTTAAGTCAAATGAGCGAGCCCGGTCTAAGAATTAACCCAAAAAAGGTGCAGCTGGCAGCCTCAAGGGTAAATCTCTTAGGCTTTGTCATAGACAATGGTACCTTGAAGCCGAACGATGGTAAATTGAGGGCCACTGTCGATTATCCACCACTGCACAATGTAAAGAGCCTTCAAAGGTTTCTGGGAATGGTTGGCTTTTACCGGCAGTTCATCCCAATCTGTGCAGAGCTGGCACGGCCATTGAATCTGCTGCTCCAGAAAGGCTCGAGATGGGTCTGGGGTCGAGAACAAGGGGCCTTCTTCTCTTCTCTCGCGAGGGCAATTGCAAATACCGCTAGCCTTTGCTTACCTGATCTTAATTGGCATTTCGATGTAGAGACGGATGCGAGCGACTACGGTGTCGGAGCACTATTGCTCCAACATCGTAGTCGGAGCAATACTGCTTCGACTACGGTGCAGTATTGCTCCGTAGTCAGAGCGATTTGATTAATATCTGCTGGGCGAAGATGGCTTATTGGTTCGCTACGTCCCAACGATCGATGAAGCGGGGGATAATGTCTCTCTCTTCAGGGCTGTGATTCCCGTGAAGCTACGGAAGAGGTTTTAGGGTACTTCCATGACTCAGGTCTGGTAGGTCATGGCAGTGGCAGCATGACTTTTCATAAGTTATGCTATGCCGCGACCTGGCTGGGGTTGAGGCAAAGCGCACTTTGGTCCACCCGCACCTGTGCAGCCTGCCAGAAAGCAAAGCCCAGAGGGGGGAAGCCTCCGAGCTTGATGCAGTCGGTGGAGAGTAACTACCCATGGGAGATCGTCGCTTGCGGCACCATTGGCCCAATGCCGAGAAGTTCGTGGGGAAACCAGTACCTCCTGGTTATTACCAATCATTTCTCATAGTGGGTAGAGCTGTACCCACTGAGGAAGTTGGTTTTAGAGCAGATCTGGGAAAAGATGCTAGAACTTATCAATGCTTTGGCGCACCCAGGTGTCTCATTAGTGATAACACTAGTTAATTTACTAATAAAGTGTTCGTGGACTCCTGCTTGGCGCTGAACATAAAACGCAAGAGGACGACACCGTACCATCCCCAAGCCAATATCACTGAGCGAGTGAATCGGAATGTCAAGTTCATAATGATTGTGCTAACGGAGAGACACAGAGATGGATAAGCACATCGCTGAGATAGGTTTTGCCGTTCAGAATACCGTGAACAGATTGACTGGTTGCATGGCAGCGTTTCTGAACCTGGGTAAAGAGGTACCGTCTCCGCTGGAAAGTAGGTTACGGAGCAACTCACTCTCTAAGTATGCGAAAGAGCTGACAAACCGCTTGTTTGGGGCGTTGCATGACGCTAGAGAGAACCTCGATGCCGCTAGGGTCGAGCAAGCGGCACAGTATGACGAGAGCCATAGGCACTTGGAATTCGAAATTGGTGACCTGAGCAATGCAGCTAGCGGTTTTGCTGCATTGCTTGCTCGGAGGTGGAAAGGGCCCTATGAGGTAAATACGCGAATGTCCCAGCTTACCATATTTTCTGGTGTATAAGATGCGTCATTGTATAAGATGCACCCTTCACTTTTCGGAAGTTTCTAAGTCAAAATTAGTATACAGTCAAACCTGTTTATATCAAACTCGCAATAAAAGTCTACCAGTTCAATATAGCGGATAATTCAATATAAAGGTTTTAATGAATTTGACTCTCAAAAATCCACTTCCTGCTGACATATTACACAATGAAATAGTCTTGCATCTTCTGCTGCTTTTTTTTCTTCATTGCATCTGTGATAACAATACTTTTCTTTGCTATCGACAGACTCCAAAACGCTGAGGCCGCTGCCTTCTCTATTCGCGCATTAGCGCCGAACTATGCCAAGAGCACGGAGCACGTCCGAACAGGAGCACTTTCTCCTGCAGAGCGCCGTTTGGCTCTGCAAGTTGGCTTTTCCCTAAAGCAGGTGACTGCATTGGGGGAAAGCCAGCTAGCAGAGCAAGCTGGCTTTTTTTTCTTCTGGGTGGCCGCGTCAACTGCCCTAAAGGAAAAATAATAAAACAAAATTAACTGTTGGGCTAGTTGGCTACACATTGTATAAAAATTCAAAAGCACAAACACCAAGGAAAAGAAGAGGGGACAGGACCTGTCCTGTCCCCTCTTCTTTTCCTTGGTGTTTGCGCTTTTGAATTTCTCTACAAAAAAAATAATATTCTGTTTTTGCGGACGAAGCGGGATGAGGAAGCACGGAGCACCCTCTCCCCGCTCCCTGCACAAAATAGTTTTTTTTCTTACAAATAATGAACGCAATTGCCCCCCAAAAAAAAAAAAAAAAAAAAAGCCCGCATGCTTTGCAAGTTGCCTTTCCGCAATTGCGATCGCTCGCGTTGGGGGAAAGCCAGCTTGCAGAGCAAAACGGGGCTCTTGGCAGTTCGATAAATCGGTAGCGGCTGCTATTTTTGTTTGATGCAACCATAGTTTTTGCTATATATTATCACTGTAACATTGCTGTGCACAAACATTTTTCTATATAAGGAATAATTCAATGTAAACGGCTTCGATATAGTCGGGTTTGACTGTATAAGACACAAGTATAAGTAGTGGCTCAACTGTCACAATCTTTTGCCATTTTAACTCATCGGTTGCGGCTTGCAAGACTCGCGCAGTCTCCGTGACTTGAGAGCTTGCAAAGCAACGTGTTTTCTTTTTTTCTTTTCATTTTCTTGACTTTTTCTGTTATGGAACTCGTTTTGGAAGGTTGACTTGCATTTATGACGCATCATTTGCATTGAGGTGTCATAATAGTTAAAAGAAGACTAATCAGCATCAACAGGAGTTCCTTCAGAGCTTGCCAAAAAGAAAATATACATATAAGACGCACTGTTGTATAAGACGCACCGCTGAAAACTTTAGAAAAAAAGTATGTCTTATACACCGGAAAATACGGTACTTATAAACTCGCTTGGCGTGATGCGAACAAGGAGTCTGGTCCAGTTCACATCACGGACTTGAAGGGGCACTACCGTTACGATGGGGAAGATAGTTAATTAAGGCTACCGCCGCCGCCACATTCTGCGGCAGAAAGTAAACAATTTTCCGGTGTCCTAACAGTGTTCTTTCTGCACAGGACACCTCCTTGGAGAAGCCATTCCACATGGCGTTACCCAGAAGGCCCACCGGACGGGAATACGGGTTGGGCCGTTTTCCCAAACACCCAGGCTGGTGAAGCAACGACCGACCAGCCAGGCCCCGAGGAAGGAAGGTGCTGGTTCAGTCAACCAGACCCTCATGGTGGCCAATCATGGGGGCGACAGCACCGGGGATGGCCGAACGGCAGACGTGGGCAACGCCGTTGGGGCTCTGCAGGCACTGCGAGGCCAACAGCTGTAACGCCTTCATGGCAAGGGGCAAGCCCGTCTGCAGCAACATCGCGGCACGGGGCAGGGCCGTCCGCAGCAACATCGCGGCACGGGACAAACCTGTCTGTTGCAACACAGCGGCGCAAGGTAAACCCGTCCGCGAGGGCACCTCCGCAGAACAAGGCAGCGCCGTCTGGGTCGGGGGGACCTGCCTGGAGTAGGCGCCCCTGCCACACCGTGGCCACGTGGACGGCGTGTGGGGAAGGAGAGGCCATCCTCTATGTCTCTCGCCAGCGTTGGAAACATCAACCAAGGCCAACGCCCGGACAGCCCGACAACGAAGTCCCACACCCGTTCCGTGGTCACACGCTACCGTCGGTGCCACGCGTCTTGGGAGAGCCGGACACTTGCTGGCTATGCGGGGTCCCAATCATCCATCTAGAAACCCACGAGGCAGGTCAACTCCATCGCGATCTGCTGGAGGCACACCCCCTCCCTGGCAACGTGGTGGCAGCGGTGCAGCTCTTGAGAAGAAGCTGCCCGGACCTTCTGGCTCCCGCTGCCGTGGCCCTCGTCCAGCCGGTCCAGCTTCCCACGAACCCTGCCGCCGCTCCAGTTACCGCAGTTGCTGCCGTCAAACCCGCAGCCACAACGGCCCCTACCACATCGGCCGCTTCCAGCTCTTCCGGCCCAAGTCATCGGGCCGGTGGCGTCCAGCTGCCCCCTCTGTCCGCCCCGACTTTCGATGACATCATTGACGAGGGGGGCCAGGAGGTACCGCCCAGCTCAGCTACCAATGACGACATCATGGCCGAGGTGGAGGAACCCCTTGGCAAGACCCGTGAGTTGCCGACCAACCGAGGCCCTCCCGAAGACCGGGCCTTGAGGGGGGGGAAGTGTGGGAAGCCGGGGAGGAAGAAGGCGCGGGGGGGACACGCCATGGGCGGCCGAGTGGTGTTCGAGACCAGCGCGAGCAAGAACGGCCACAACGGAGCAAGCCCTGAACAACTCGGCGAAACACAGGGCCGAGCCACCCCCGGGAAAGACGCAGTCTAGCACCAAAATAGAGTAAAGTGTTTTCTCACATCTTCTCTTACGTATGACTTCTCGGGAGGGCAGACCAGGCGGAGGTCGATTGGGCGACAGTATTATTGAGCAACCCACAAGTTACCTTATTGGCACGAATGTAGGTCGACCCATTTTTCAGTTTTTTTTAAATCTGAAGTGGGGGGGGGTCGACTTATCAAACCAAAGCATTCCACCTCAGACAAAAACGAAACAATCGCGATATTAAGTACACCTCCACTTGTTACGAGTTCAGCCAGCTGTGCGGTGCCTGCAGCATTGTGCTATTCGACCCACACAATTTACAAATTTTTTTTTTTTTTTAATTTGTGTTAACGAGTATTATTGATAGCGATTCGCAAATTAACCCGATTGTATGGCGGTGAACAGCACACCATGCGCCCGACTTTCGGGGGTGGCGGCACTTCTTGTAAGAGCCACTCCGGAGACTGCTGGAACAGCTACACGGCTCACTCCCTGCGGCGTCTTTTCGCAATTTTTCGCGCAATTCACAGTCGCACGTCGTTCGATCGAGTGTCGAGATCATGCTGGAGTGCTAACTATGTTTTTTTATTGACGCGCGTGACCAGGGCAGTTTAGGTTTTCGGTACTCGTTTATGACCATTCTTCACCCAAAAACAACCAACAACTGCGCTGTTGGACGCAAGTTCAACCCGTCGGAGCGGGTGATATTCCAGTGGAGTCTGCAATGGCGTGGGATCTTGCAGTGTGACGGCAAACGAAGAGGCTTCCGCGGGCCAAAGGCTTGCAACGTACGCCGCAAAAGTGTGCAATCTGTCCCTACCCGTGACGTGCAACGCGATCACCGAGCAAGCGCGGAAGATGCAGTCATTTGCAAAGTGGGAGATTTCGTTGGACGACACCGACGACCTGCTTCGAGACGTAGCAGTGATGACGACGGGTCTGACGTCACCAGTGCGGACGAGTCGTAGTCTAGTCGCGGACGGAGTGAGAACAATGGGGAGCAGCTTTCGTTGTCCCGCCTCCAGTATGAACCTCCTAGTTTTTATAATGCCTGGGCATCTCATGCACCTCATGCGTGTACGCGCAGCCAAAGCACGCCAGAAGGCATAGATCACGTGTTGGAGGCTGGGCGTTCAAAACAGATACTTTGCCGTTTCACAAGTTTTCAGTAAAATGCGGATCTAAAAACTTCTTTTTTGCTGATGTGTATTGTGGGGGTCAACTTACAATTAAGTCTACTTACAATTGTGTAAATACGGTAAGTATGGACAGGGCTGCTATTCCAAGTGTCGAAACTATTTTAAAGTTACGCAAGCCGATGTGCAATGAGACGTGGAATAAACTACATTTTGCAATGTAGAGGTTGCCTACCCTGAAGGTCCTATCTCCCAAACTTGAGTTAATGAGACGGTGAATGACGTCGGTTTGCCCCTTTCAGAGGGCATCGTCAGCTGCCAGCTTCCAATCAAAAATTTGTGGGTTGCACAGCGTCCAAATGAATGATTGGATTTCCTTCGAGCCCAATTGATGCGGTACTCTTGTTAGCTCAGACTACCAGAAAAAAATACTCTTGTCTAACTAGGGAAGTTTGGGGTCACGTCGTTTCCGCTTTTTGGAGGACAATTCTTTTTTGCGTTTCTAGTCCCACTTCGCTTTCTTGCTGCAAACAGAAAAAAAGATTTCTTTTTAGCAGAAGACCAATATGCAGTCCCAGCATGAACACCTCCGTTCCCCGGAAAGATTTTTTATGATAACGAATCTAGGTCAAGGTCACAAATGATGAACGACAGAAGTGGACACGAAAGACGTTTCTTCTTTAAAACACCTACCTCCAAGTGGTGGGGGAAGTGCCCTGCTTTTACCTTTATGCACAAGAGCTACACATGACATATGAATGTTCTTCAGGTTTGTCATCTGTGGCTGTGACACTTGCAGGGAGAGAACGGCAAGTGACCCATTTGAGAGGAAAGGCACAAAAATTTAAACCATTTTTGGGTGCCCAAGTCTTGTCTCTTTCTCAGGGAGGGCAACGAACAAGCGATAATGAAGCTCTGGGTGTGCTGTGACCCAGGAGCTTTGCTAACCTTTCTCCTTTTTTTTTTGCATTTCTGGGTTGTGTTAAGTTTGCGAACAAACTTTCCACAGTTTGTTCCCAGACTAGCTGTGCATAGCCCAGACTGCGGGCTTCCATTTTAACGAGGCAGAATTGCGTGGGGGGGCGGATGGGTCCCAGAATATTTTGTCTACAATAGACTCCCATTATTTCAAACTTCAGGAAGCCACGAATCTTGTTTGAATTGTCACTAATTCATCTATATGTGTGAGATGTAAGATAAAATTATGATTTGCCATATGGCTACACACATAAAGCAGATATTTGATGATGTCCTCTATGTCGGCCTACAGATCATAAGCAGGTATGCCACACATGAAACATTTGTGAAATGTATAACAAGTTTATTTATGCCTCAAAAATGTTCTATCGTGTTTTGTTTAGACAGCACGTGACAACGGATTATCGGGCCAAGGAGTTGCCTAACGTGAACTATCAAGCAGGGGGTGAGCGATGAAAACTGGCACAGCATATCAGTTTTCATAGCAACTTGCGCGGACGCTGGGAACGTTAACCTATGTTATGCTGCCAAGTTACAGCATCCGCGCAAGTTGCTATGGAAATTTTAGCTTGGTGCCCGTTTTCGCAGTTCATGGTGCCCTGCTTCAGAGCCGTATATATAGAGAGTTTGGCCATTCGTTGGGAAGTATAGGAGACGAATGAGGAGGCGCCATTGGCCGAAAGCGGGCTGGGCGTGTTCCAGGGCGTCTACAGAAATTCGAATGTGACCAACCAGAAGCCGGAAATAATATCCTGGCGGAGGTCGCGAGAAACAAACCTGATAACTGCGTTGGAGTAACTCTTGATGGCTGAAAATATGGTACACGTGATGTTTCAATCACGCTCATCCAAAATGATGATGGAAGAGTGCGACTAGCGGAACGATCGACATAATCCGTACGCCAAACGCCGAGGGCCGGGAATCTGTCGTTCGAGCGGTCACACTCTGTCCGCGCAAAACAGAGTTGAGCGGCGCATTCGTTTTTTACACCTTTCTGCATGATCATGATCAAGACAACACGTGAACCCTATTTTCAACCACAAAGAGTTACTAGACCTCACTCTCACGCACTTATTAAAACCATACACGAACATAGACCTTCGATCAGAACTGTTTCTCGCTACCACCGCTAGGGGATTCTTTTCGGCTTCTGGTTGGTCAAGAGAGCATGCCAAGCCCTCTTTCCGAGTCTGCCACACGCCCTGGCTCTGCCCGCACCTCCCATTGACCAAACTCTCTACATATACGGCTCTGCCCTGCTTGAGCCCCGTTGAGTGCGCTTCTCCCCAAGCACCAGTGCACTGCGGAAAAGCAACAGCCGCAGAAGCAAGCTCCGCAGGTGTTGCCTCTCTGCAGTGCACCTGTGTTCGGAAAGAAGCGTCCTCAACGGGGCCACAAGAACAAAAAGTATGAATTGTGTGAAAATGCCATTCAAATGAAGTGGTTTGCTTCAAGTGGCGTAAAAAAATTAGTGGGACCACGAAAAGTTTGAATTATTGCGAGCCTACTGTATTAGCGAGGTGTCCGTGGTAACGGGGTCCATATTAACGAGGGACGACTAGCTGACTTGCATGCCCCACAAAACCGTTTCTTGTACTCTCATTCAATACCAGTTCCAAAACTCTGGGACCATGATGCCAAAGGCCTTTCTGCCGACGCACATCGTGGTTACGCTATTGAGCCTGTAGACCAGGCGGCGGGGAAGGGACGAATCTAGAGTTTTTGGCCACCTGGGTTTTGAATGGTAATAGAGCCCATACTCCGAAGTGTGGGCGTACTGGAAGCTACGATGGCGAGCTCCGGTCTTCCAACATCCCTGCAAAGCTTGCACACTCGTGCAGTGCAAGCATTGCTCTTCGGGGCCACATGCTCGTGCTTGTAGCTTTTCTTTGCCCGCACTTAAAATAAGCTGGAGTGTAGAATTATTGAAAAAACCCTAACACAGATGTTTCAATTAGAAAACTGGGTTCGCAGAGTGGTTTCAATAGAAAATCCAAGACTGAACGAAAATATATAAGCCATTCCCATTTGTGAAGGTGGATGACCAGCAAAGCTGTTTAGCACATGACACAAACCCGCCCCAAAAAGCCAAAGGAAACTAGACTCGCGCGACAGGACTGCCACCCGGCAGAGTGTAGAGACGTGCGATGGGACTGCCCTCCCCGGGAGAGCGGAAGGAAAGGAAACTAGGCACACAAGCGCTTGGAATAACGACAAAGAGAGGGCGCTGTGAGAGTAGACATGGCCGACACGGGTCACGCAGCAGCAAATCTTTGAGAAACCTTTACTATCTACCCGAGAGTACCGATCTTGAAAATGGTGCCTATTCATAACTAATCTACTGAATAGACCTAGTGCTAAATTACCCAAGCATGAAGGAGAATGCAGGGAATGGTGTTCCACGCGCCGCATGTGCCGGCATCTACAGCAGTAACTGTTCTAAAGCAAAAGGATAAAACAAATGGCATCTTACATAAGCGCTTGTCAACACTTCATTTTCGGTGTTTACTTAGAATCTTTCATACGGGGAAGACGTGCGGCGGTGCGAGCATGAAGTTTTTAGTCTCTGCACACGAAAAATTTATGGAACCCTAGCCATAAACAGCTTCGTTGTAAAACGTAACCGGGGATGGGGACAGAGGAGTTTTCGAGTGCGGAGATGTTGCGACTCCTGAACAGTAAATTCCAAAACTTGGGGCCTTTAAGAAGTTGCCTATAAAATGATAACTTGTACTTTAAGTGGCACATTAGAGGTGCACCTTGTGCCCATCTGTTAACGCCAACTTTTGAAAGTGACAAGGCCCCTAGCAGGAGCTTAGCCGGGGTGGGGCTTATAGGGCTTCAGCCCCTGCGCCCCCCCGAAATCCAGCTGATTTTATAATATACACACGCCTTTTGAGCTCCCCTCCCCCTTTCTGCACCCCAA